CTTTCCTGCTTCGGCTCTTCCTCCGACTTGAGGAATTCCGGCAGACGGCCTGCGAGCGCGTCGTTCGCGAGGGCGGTGAGGCTTGCCTCGGTGATTTCTCCTTCGAGCTTGTATTTCTTGGTGGCTTCCTGCGTGAAATCGGCGAAGAGAGCGGCGGGGAGGTGCTCCGATCTGATGCCGAAGTAGCTGAGAAGTTGGATGTCGGAAGAAGACGCGTAGACGACAAAGGCGCGGCCGGCGAAGGACTTTGCGACCTTTTCGAGCATCGGTTGCATGCTTTGAAGCTGCTCTTGGGAAGCGAAAATGATGAATTGGTGCTGAACGCCATGGTCGGCTGAGAAAAGGAGTCGCATGTAGGGCTGAGAAAAGGGAATCACCGGAGGAAGCTGGTTGAGCAAAATCCATTTCTTGAGATCTTTGGCTTCGCCGGTGAATGTGACAGTGTCGTGGAGCGATTTGTACAGCACGATGGAGGGAACGGAAACTTGCATGCTGTCGCTTATCTCACTGTTTGTGATGTAAATCGCAGAGATATTGTCAAGAGTAGCCATGAGCTTGTAGAAATTACTAAACTCGCTCGACTGTGTGTCCTCGAAGTAGCCTACAATCGCCACGTCAGAATTATCGATCGCTGTCTTGAGATCACCCACAGTATTGTAAGTGACACAAATAGGACCTGATTTCTTTTGTAAAAACGAGACAATGTCTTCCTTCGTACGACCACCTTCATATTCGGTTTCCTGACCTTCCCTGAAAAACAGAAGAGTTGGGAAGCCGCGAATATGATACTTTAGAGTCGATTCCCTGTTGGCCGTAGCGTCGAGCTTCGCAATGTAGATAGGAGGATTATGAGACATCATTTGCTTTGCAATACCAGGGAGCTCGGCATCGAGCTTTTTACAATACCCACACCACTACGCATTACACAGTTGCTCGAGTATTACAGGAGCGTAAAACATTACAAGCACCATTTTATGCTCAGTAAGTACTTGATCGAAGTTCTTGTCGTTCAAGATCAGAACACCGTCCTGGCTCTGTACACTGGAAAGAGCAACCACAAATAATAAAACAACAGTCAATAACTTCATCTAGGTATTCTTAAACAAAAGAAAGAATAGATCTTGTCAAAAGAATACTACACTTGATGAATAAGTGAATACAAATGAATAGTTGTCATTCGGGCTTGATAATCAAGGGGTCATTCCATAACGTTTTCAAATGCGAAACAAAACAAGAATCGTAGATATTGGAAAGCCATTCACTCTGTCATGTTAAGCTGATTATAGAAGGCAGAAATGGGTTGATAATGGATAATGTACTTGTCAAAATGAAGCAAAACATGCATTATTTGGTATTTGTGAACATACTTCAATAGCAATAAATCCAATAGATTATCTCCACAAGTCAAATTGCTCGATACACTCTTAAAATCACAAAATACAATATTCTGGATCCATGTGCTACACACTCCCATTTTCAGTTTTCCTTTGGAATGATTGTGTCAGAAGAACAAAATGCAGAATTGCGCAAGCGGTTAAAAGCGACTACCGTTCCAAACTGGAAAACTCTCCCCGGTCTCTCGAATCAAGAGATCGCCTTGAAGAGTATACTGTCGGATGCCTTCCTTCGGAAACGGAACGAGGCGTATTCGCTGAAGAGAATTATATTATTGTAGTGTACTTTTATTGGGTCCTGGCGGATGTTGTAAGCACTTGCTTATCGACTTTTGCATGCACTCCCTTTGTATGGAAAACCAACAATCCAATCCAAGTACTGCTTTATCATACAATTCTATGAAGATGTGTTTGCCCAAGGAGAATATATTCGAATCAATATTGATGGAGACTATATAGACAATGATGACGACGCATTCCGCATCATAGCAAAGCATCTTACGTCTCCTTTGATGCGTCGTAGTCTTTTCTGTTTTCTGTGAATCTAGACAAACGTTTCAAAAATGCACAATTCAAAAACATGGAGTTTCTAGAGATTGTATGAGCTGAAGTCCTCATTTCCTGTAGGTTCTTCAGGAGACGCAGATTTGCAACGTGCCTTTGCTCATTGTTCTGGACCATTTCTCCTCATTCTGCCACCAAACCAAGCAAACCCTCCTCTACACCTTGCTCGATTTGTGTGGAAGCAAAAACGTTCAGCTGTGCATCATCGGAATTGACTGCGATTGCACCATCACCGAACGGCTCGAAAAGCGAATCCAAAGCAGGTCTTTCTATGCTTCCGAATTCACTTCAGATTCTCGCAGCGGGAGATCGTAGTGAACTATCCAGCTCCTTCCGATGTGGCGCAATTCGCTGCCTCCACGCTCTTCCTCCCTGGTCGGCAGCGCGAAACGCTTCAGTGGAATTCCGCCGTGAAGAAAATCGTGCTGAACAAGGCGTTTTATGAGCTGGTCGAAGAGCAGTCCGCGATCTTCCCGCTCTCTTTCCATATCCTTTGTGGTTGTCCGCTTGGCGATTCTTGACGCGCAAGGGACATCAAACGTGTGTTGTTGTTTGTTATCGCAAACCTTCCCGACAATCTCCAAGATTTCACCATCGAGTTTTGGAAGAAAAGCTTCACATTCATCACACAACAGAATACCATCGCGAAGAACTGCTGTCTGCATTGTAGCGTAGAGGAGGGGAATAGATGGATAGATTTGGGGGTAAGCGATCTCGCACTTCTGATCGCTGCGAAGCATTTTGTCCAGCGAAAAATGGCTAATTACTGCTTTCTAGATTTGCTTGACGCCTATAACAAGTAGGAGGATGGGAGTCAATATAAGCATCAGATGGGTTGTTTCGTCGAATAACTTCCAGCTCTCAAAAATGACAGAATCGCGAGCGTGGCAGGTAGAAGCGATGCATCGTGTAGATCGTAGAGCTTCCAGCTACTTGTACAATACGGGTTGATTAAGTACGTATCGGCCAGCACAGCTTTGGTGGCTGCCGGAACGAGAAATGAGAATGCAAAGAGACAATCAGCAAATACGGTGATGCGTAGCGGAAATGAGAAGAACGCTCCGATTATCCTCCTGGTTCAGGTATTCCAAAGTGTGTGGATCACGATTGATTCGTAGCCAGAGGAGATTGACAGGATTATCAGGGAAGAAAAGCTGGCATGTCCTACGGTTCTTGAGAATTGGGCGCTGAAGTGGAGTGAATAGTTTTTTTTACAATTCTTTTCCTGTTTATTCGATATTCAATGCGAAAAATGACTCGAAAGGGGAGACGAGAATCGCGGTTATTCGGGAAACTGGAGGGGTTTGCCAGGGGAATTCAAATTGACACGAAAAAGAATCCATGGCAACAGCATTACCGGCTGAGATTTATAATCAATTACCAAAATACGATTCCGATCGCGGTTTGTGAAATATCATTGTATTGAGCAATAGCGCTGATAAAGACGTTTCTTGAGACGTTCGAAGCGAAAGAAAAGTCAAAGAGGAGTGCAGAGCGGAAATATATGAATATGATCAAAGAAGTCCGTCAGTTGAAGCGAAAAGTCATACCGGTGTCTCTTGAGGATTTGGAAAACTCTCAGCAGGGAATCTTGGCACAAAATGTCCGGAATAATACTGTTCGCTATGTCGAGCTGTTTGAAGACGTGGTAGATGACTTGCTCCTTACAATTCCATACACAGAAGAGCCCACAACTCCGACAGATATTTTAAACGTTGGATTTGCCCGCGTGTGCTGATGGGTAGAGACATCGAGAAGAGCGCGCCCAAGCGCAGGAAGGAGAAGTCTCTGATACGTACGAGTCGTACTACTTGAAGCGGCACATGGCTCGTCGCTATGACGTGCTCTTCACTCCCGATACAGAAAGTAAAAACGCAGTATACGCGATTCGCGATGTGGACTCCCAAAAAATCGGCCACTACGTCACAATCCGCGGAATCATCACCCGTGTCGGCGAAATGCTCCCCATGGTCCGCATTGCCGCCTACGAATGCCGCCAATGCCACCAAGAATGCTTCCAACGCGTCTCCCCGCGGTTTCCTCCTGACCCCTAGATCGTCCGCCGCTCCTTCACCCCGCTCAAAGTGTGTCCCAGCGAGGTGTGCAAGCGGAACCACTCCAACGGCGACCTGGTCATGAAGCTCTCCAACTTCAAATGGGCTCGCTACCAGGAGGTCATTCTCCAGGAGTGCAGCGACCAGATCCCCGCGGGACACATCCCTCGCGTGTTGACCGTGCAGCTGCGCGACTCCGTGACCCAGTCCTGCGTCCCTGGAGACATCGTCAGTCTGAGCGGTACCTCTCCTTCTGTCATATCACGCAGGTTGCTTCCTCCCCACGCCGTACACCGGGCTGAAGGCGCTGCGCGCGGGGCTCATCACGGACACCTACTTCTTCGTGCACCACGTGCACCACCACAACTCCGCCGAGGACACCGCGCTGCCGCCCCAGCGCGTCGCGCGGGAGCTGAAGAAGCTCGCGCGGCGCGACGACGTGTACGAGCACCTCGCGCAGTCCCTCGCGCCCGAGATCTTCGGTCATCTCGACGTGAAGAAGGCGCTGCTGCTGCAGATGGTCGGTACGAACCGCGGGAGAGGCTCATTCAAGGCGGAGTCACGCGCGTGACCGACGATGGGATGAAGATCCGCGGGGATATCAATGTGCTGCTGATGGGCGATCCCGGCGTGGCCAAGTCGCAGCTTTTGAAGTACATCGCGACGGCGGCGCCGCGCGGCGTGTACACGACGGTTAGAATCGCGGGGGAGAGCGAGTTGTAGGGCAAGGGGTCCTCCAGTGTGGGATTAACCGCGGGAGTGATGCGGGATCCCGACACGGACGAGCTGAAAGTGGAGGGCGGCGCGCTGATTCTGGCGGACACAGGGATCTGCTGCATCGATGAGTTCGACAAGATGAGCGAGGGCGATCGCACGTCCATCCACGAGGTCGAGTTTGTGGGATCCCTCCAGCGTAGGTGATGGAGCAGCAGACGGTCTCGCTGAGCAAGGCCGGCATCCAGACCACGCTGAACGCGCGCGTGTCGCTGCTGTGCGCGGCCAATCCGCTGTTCGGCCGGTACAACCCCAAGAAGACGCCCGGGGAGAACATCAACCTCCCCACCGCGCTGTTCTCGCGCTTCGACCTGCTCTTCCTCATCCTGGTCGCTCTGCGCTGGCGGGCTGACGCGTAGGACAAGCCGAACCGCGAGCTGGACCGCGAGCTGGCCGAGCACATCGCGTACGTGCACAAGAACGGCGAGAGCGAGGAGCAGGCGGCCGCCGTGCCGCTGGAGATTCTCCGCGCGTACATCGCCGAGGTAGGCGTGAGAGCGCGCTGTGAGGAGCAGGCGAAGCGGCACGAGCCGTTCGTTCCCGCGGAACTGATCCCGTATATCGCGGATACGTACGTGAACAACCGGCAGATCGACGCGCGGACCGCGGAGAAGAACGGCGAGCTCACGTCGATGACGGCGCGGCAGCTGCTGGCGACGCTGCGGCTGGCGCAGGCGCACGCGAAGGTGCACTGGCGCGACGAGGTGACGGCGGGGGACGTGGACGAGGCGCTGCGGCTGGTGTATATGAGCAAGGCGTCGGTGCTGGAGTCGGAAGAACCGTCGAACCGGAGGGAGGATGTGCTGTCGGTGGTGTATGCGGTGGTGAGGGAGCTGTTCGTGGGGAAGGGAGTGGACGTGATGGACGTGGGGGAGGTGGAGAGGTTTGTGATGCGGAAGGGATTCTCACAGATCCAGCTGGAGGTGAGAGAAGGGGGGGAGATGCATTGTAGGAGTGTATTCAGCATTACTCGGATATTAATGTGTGGATGCTCACGGATGATAATTCGAGACTGGCGTTTGTTTGGAATGTTTGTTGGAATCAGTTTTTTGTAATTGTGGGCAGTAGTGCGAAGATGTCAGTGGATATCAACGTTGAAGCGCTCTCGGACGAGTTGAAGCTGGAGGGAAACAAGTTATTTGCCGGTTTGAACAGATGAGGCTCCATGTTGTTTAGAGAATCGATTTAGCGAAGCTTGTGAGAAGTACACCGAGGCAATCAATATCTGCCCTACCGCGATTCTCTATGGTTCCGTCCTTGTGAAGTTTCTGATCCCTAGCAAACCGCTCCTTTTGCTACCTGAAAATGGAGTATGCGGGTGAGGCCATGCGTGATGCATCCACGGCGATTGAGTTAGACCCGACTTATTCGAAGGGGCAAGTGACATTGTTCTCTTTCTTAGTGGATAGATACTACCGCCTTGCGAGCGCTCACTACTACACGGGCGATTTTGAAGCCGCTCTTAAAGACTTCAAGAAATGCTTACAACTGAACCCCTCTAGCAAGTTGATTTGGCGTAGCGTCTTCATTCTAGGGGAATTCGCAGAAAAGTGGAAGAGGTTACGAAGCTGGTAAAGAAGCAGCGATTTGATGCGGCTATTCATGTCGAAGTGAGATCCTACGCCGAGCAGGTGGACTTCAAGGATCTGCGTAGCGATTTTACGTGCATTGAACCGAAGGTTTTTCCACACCGATCGAAGGACCGACGATTGACTACAAGAACGATGGTAGCAGTATTGACGATTACACGATAACGGATCGTTTCATACTGGATATGCTGCAGTGGCACAAGGAAGGAAAGAATCTGCACATCAAGTTCGTGTACGTGATCTTAATGAAAACCATCCAATACCTCAAAACGCTTCCGAATGTCATCGAGGTCAAAATGCCGAAAGGCAAAGACGAGACATTCCGTGTGTGCGGAGATGTCCATGGGCAGGTGAGTTTGCTTCGCTGTTTTCATTTTTAGTATTACGACTTTATCAACATCTTCAACAAATTCGGATATCCCTCCGATTCCGCTCCCTATCTCTTTAACGGTAATTCCAGAAATCGGGACTAATTTGAAGGTGACTTTACAGATCGCGGAAATTTCTCCGTCGAGGTCGCTCTGACCATTTTCTGCTACAAACTGGTGCGACCCGACACGTTTTTCGTTCTGCGAGGAAATCATGAATCCCCTGTAAGAACGAGAATATGGGTTGCTGAATCGTAGATTAACCGGATGTTCGGATTCGATGGAGAAGTCCGACACAAGTACAGCGGGGAGATCATGCAGTTGTTCTCGGAGTGCTTCCGTGCGCTCCCATTGGCTGCGATTCTCGAGAAGAAGGTCATTATTCTGCACGGAGGCCTGTTCCGACAGGACGGTGTGACGATCCAGGATTTGCAAAGAATTGACCGATTTACGGACAGTATGTCGGGTCTATTAGAGGACATATTGTGGTCTGACCCAATGGATAGTATGGGTCGGATGCCATCTCGAAGAGAGGCCGGAACGATGTTCGGGCCGGATATTACGAAGGCGTTTTTGGAGAAAAATCATCTGGAGCTGCTGGTGAGATCGCACGAGGTGAAGATGGACGGATATGAGGTCCAGCATGACATATCCTGAATTGAAAGCTGAGTGGGACTTAACAGTACGGAAAGTGCATCACCGTGTTCTCTGCGGCGAATTACTGCGATACGACCCAGAACTTGGGAGCCATCATCAAGTTCGACCACGAGTTGAAGCCACACTTCGAAACGGTTTGGCTTGCAGAATATGTGTTATGTAGTTTGAAGCTGTTCCCCACCCGGGTCCTCCCTCGATGTACTTTGCGCCCAAGATGTTTTAGTTAGTGCAGAGAAATGGATTGTTTGTTGGGATAATTATTCGGGGTTTGGTAGTGATGGTGGAACAAAAAAAGTATGGCTGGATGGTCGTTTTATATAGGAAAAGAAGGAAAACGAAAGTAGCTAGAGTGCCCGAGTTGGTCCAAGGGGGTGGACTTAAGATCCTCTGTGTTCAGTCACTCGTGGGTTCGAACCCCACCTCTAGCATTTTTACTTTTTAAAAATAAGCAAATGGGGAATGGAGGGCGCATGTGTGGAAATATAGGTGTAGAATAATAGTAATAATAATAATAATGTTGAAACATGTGGTGTGAAGGAAAGGAATGAAGCACATAGTGGATTCTTGGTGTTGTTAGAAGAGGTAAATGTGTATTGTTTTGAAAATGAGAAATAATTCTAATTACTATTTTTTACACATGGCGCAAGAGAGGTTGATATTTTGAACAATAATTCCTGTTATTTGAGATACCCAGGATTGGAGTCTATATGTTATTTGCTGTTATGATGGTTTTGTAGATAATTTGTCTATTTCTTAGTATTATTGAGGCTGTATGAATCCTTGCCATAAGAGAATGTACTAGATTATAGATGTAGCCATTCACGTAATATCAGGAGGATTTAATTTGGCAGCCATCCATATTATTGTTATTGGAAAACTCTTATGTTAAGTTTATTGATAAGCAGACAAAGAGAAATTGGTACAGTTATTCTCAACATGGTAATCATTAAGGAAAGAATAGATACATTTCTTGTGAACGTATATAATCTCGAGGATATTAGAATTTGTTTGTTTGAGTAAAGGCTGACCATCAGCTTCATGATATCGAGGAGCGATACTACGGTATAATAATTGTTTATTCTAATATCACGGAGGCAGGTTATTTATGTATTTTTTCAAAAACCACATTACTCATAAAATGAGCTTGAGACACGGATTTTTAAATAGATTTTCAACAATTTCAGCCATAGCTCACAACATTTTTGTTTGTATCTTATTTCGCGTTACATAGAAAAAAACAAATCTCTGTTTAAAAATAACACAATATGAAACGGATTTCATCGTGGATATTATAAATAGTTTTCTGTTTGTATTTTTTAATATGAGTGGAGAACGTATTGTCTTTATACTATACTTATTGTTAGCTACTCTGTCTGAGATTCAAGGAGAGGAGTATCTGCTTGGTGGATATGCAACGCTCGGTCAGCCTGAAACCATAATGAAGGATGGAATCAAATACACTTTGCAGAAATTCCAGGGCACGCACAAGAACGAATTTGTATTGCAATCAGAATTTGGTGAGGTATTTTTGTATGAAAGTAATGTTCTGAAACAGTTTTGGCTAGAAAATGAGAAGGGGAAGAAATCGGAGGAGTTTATTCGATACAAGAATGGTCGAGCCGATTTTATTCAGCGATTCGAGTATATTTTGCAGCAAACGAATAGAAAGCAATTTGTAAACCACAAGAAAGGAGTTCGAATGGAAATCTGGTCTGCACAAACAGGCCATTTGCTGTATCACGGAGGGTACAACGAAAGACGAATGAAAGAAGGCTGGGGCATCGAATACGATGAAGAAAGCGGAAATGTGGCTGTGGAAGGGATGTGGAGCAAAGGAGTATTGACAGAAGTGATTCGATGTTTCAATGGAGATACGATGACCGAATTGAAGCGAAACGGAGCAGATAGTTTGGATCCAACGAAACGAATTCCGATCTATGTGGGTGGATTTCGCTATGATGAAGACAATGAAACGTTTGTTCGTGAAGGGAAAGGATGTCTGATTGATGGAAAGACTGGAATCGCAACTCGAGAATGTGAATGGAAAGATGGAAAGGAAGTGAGTGGAGTGGATCTGAATGATGGATGGTATACTATATTTAAAGATAAAGAAACTATCAACAAAGAGGAAGAACTGGATTGGTTGGGACTAATGAAGACAGATTTAGTGATTTCAGATAATAGTTGTAACGATGTATATCAATTGAATTTGAGCAAATACAAGTGGATTCAATCAATCGAAATTGGTAATAAATGTTTTAGATCAGTGCAGATATTCCAAGCGGATGGATTGAGTCGACTGAAAAGACTAAATATAGGGAACTATTCCTTCACTCCAGCGATAAATGATGATGATGATTATGATTACTATGAAAGAAATGATATGTCAATATCAAATTGCGACCATCTTGAGACTATTAATATAGGTAATCGCTGTTTTGGTATTTATAAATCATTAATAATTTATGGACTGAGTCGATTGAATAGTCTGAATATTGGAAATGGCTCTTTCTCTCCAGCTGACATATACTTTTATGATGAATATTATTATCATGAATGGGGTGAATTCGAAATTTATAATTGCGATTCACTTGAATCAATTACAGTTGGTAATCGATGCTTTGGATATGCCATATCACTGCAAATTGATGGATTAAGTAGTTTGAAAAGTGTGAAAATCGGACGTGGATCATTCAGTGCAGAAATAGATCATAATTATGAACGTAATTATAATTACAGAAATGATGTGCCTCGTGTATTTCAAATAGTAAACTGTGACTCACTGGAATCAATCGAAATCGGAAATGATTGTTTTAATTTAGTCCAAAAACTCCAAATTAATAGATTAAAGCGATTGAAAACTTTGAAGATCGGCAACTCTTCATTTAACAGAGTTGGAGCTCATTATTCTATAAATGACAGTCAAGTAAAGGATAATGATTTGCAAATAACGAATTGCGAATCATTGGAATTGATCGAAATTGGCAGTCATTGTTTTGCGGATTATTCTGAAGACTTTGAATTAAAGAATCTACCGCAATTGCAGTGTATTCACATTGGTAATGAATCGTTCCATCGTAGTTCATTTGTGATTCGAGGTATTGAACTGATATCAATTGTTTGAATGCCTAGATCTTCCAAATCTTCATACCATTACATTAGGTGATTTTGCATTCGCTTATTCCTTATCAACAATAATTGAAAGTATAGAATAAATTCGAATGAAATGATTGATGTAGATCTTCCATCATTACAATCCATTCAACTCGGTTATGAAGCACTTGAAGGAAGATGGGATGATTCAAGTTCATTGACACTTCGAAGTAATAATGAATTGATTGGTTATGATATGCTTTGTAGATCTTCCAAATCTAACATCAATAACTTCTGTAGGATATAGTTTCTATAATCTTCGTGTAGTGACATTGGAAAGTATTTCTGAATATTGAATATTGATAGTATTTAGATATTCCAAATCTTCGAAATGTCAAGCTACCTTATTCATTCAGGTGTGTTCAATCGAAATCAATTTCGAGTATAGTTTGATTGATTTGATTTGATTCATAGATGTTTCTACCAGTCTCGCTAATCTTGTCGACTAAATCAATCAGTATTTCCAGTATTGGATCTACACACCTCACCTCTTTCCATTTCATGATAATTGAATCTTCAATGCATACTTTGTTTGTCACAAACATTTCCATCATTCTTTGGTCATTGATTTAGAATACAGTCATCGATTGACTCTTTTCCATCATCACAACCCAGAGTGTTTTGACTAGCATATTCCAATCCTTCGTGTAATCGATGTAAACAAAAAAATAGCAGGTACTAAGATTTCAAAGTACTAAACTGAAACAATCATGCTCATTCTTGTGTCAACACAAAATTGTTAAATACCAAACACATTACTAAATCTCAAACACCTAAATTGATCCATCAAGTGTCTAAACAATTATGCTCTAAGTTGTTTTATATATCATTATGTTGAAAAGAAGATAATAAATGATTATTACGTCAATAGAGCGTGTTGTTTTGATACGACTTGTGTGTATTGAATGAAAGAATACAAATATGAATGGTATTTGTATTGCAAACAATGGAACTCATTAATAGATATGATTTGAAGTGAATAGATCAGTGTTTCCAGTTTTAATATTCAAAATCCATTAGATAAGTTATATGAAAACGAAAGAATGAGATTATGTAAGGGCTGTACTATTCAATAGAAGATAAAGTGTACGATTGATCGATTGTTTTAAATGTGTTAGTTAGAAATAAACATATTCCTTTACCCAACCTCTCTTTCCTTCCTCCATGATAACAATAATAATAATAATAATAATCACTATTACTATGATTATGATTCACAACAAACAAGGCTGAACTGATACTCTAAAAAGCTACACTTAATCGGTGCGAGGTCCATAAGGCGAATAGTCGGGCAGTCCGGGCACCTGGAACTGCTTGAAGTGCTCGACGAACTTTCCAGCGAGCTTCTTGGCGACACGGTCGTACTCCTCCTTGTCAGCCCAGGTGTTGCGAGGCCAGAGCAGATGATCGTCGACTCCCTCGACATGGGTGGGCACCTCCAGATTGAAGCGGTCGTTGTGGCGGAGCTCGGCCTTCTCGATGGATCCGCTGAGGATTCCGTCGATGCAGGCGCGGGTGACGGGGATGTCCATGCGCTTGCCCACTCCGTAGCCGCCTCCAGTCCATCCGGTGTTGAGCAGATAGACCTTGGTGCCATGGCGGTTCAGCTTCTCACCGAGCAGCTTCGCGTACACGATGGGGTTCATCGGCATGAACGCTCCGCCGAAGCAGGGCGAGAAGTTGGGCACGGGCTCCTTGATGCCGCGCTCCGTTCCGGCCACCTTCGCGGTGTAGCCGCACAGGAAGTGGTACATGGCCTGCTCCGTGGTCAGCTTGCTGATCGGAGGCAGCACGCCGTAGGCATCGCAGGTCAGGAAGATGATCGCCTTGGGATGGCCCGCCATGCTGTCCGGCTTGTAGTTCTTGATGTGGTAGATCGGGTACGCCACGCGGCCGTTCTGCGTCTTGCTCACATCGTTGTAGTCCAGCGAGCCGTCGGGACGCACCATCACGTTCTCCAGCAGAGCGTCGCGCTTGATCGCGTTCCAAATATCCGGCTCCTTCTCCTTCGACAGATTGATCGTCTTCGCGTAGCAGCCGCCCTCGAAGTTGAAGATACCGTCGTCGTCCCAGCCGTGCTCATCGTCTCCGATCAGGAATCGCTTCGGGTCCGCCGACAGCGTCGTCTTGCCCGTGCCCGACAGACCGAAGAACAGCGCCGAGTCGCCGTCCTTGCCCACGTTCGCCGAGCAGTGCATCGGCAGAATGCCCTGCAGAGGCAGGCAGTAGTTCATCACGCCGAAGATACCCTTCTTCATCTCGCCTCCGTACTTCGCGCCCACCACGATCGCAAGGTTGTTCTCCATATCGAAGCCCACGAACGCCTCCGAGTTCAGGCCCTGGCGCTTCCAGTTCTTGTTCACCAGACCCTTGCACGTGTTGATCACAGTGAACTCCGGCTTGAAGTTCTTCAGCTCCTCCACAGACTTGGGGCGAACGAACATGTTCGTCACGAAGTGGTGCTGCCAAGCGTACTCCGTCACAAAACGCACGCACTTGCGCGACTTCGGGTTCGCTCCGCAGTAGCCATCGAACACGTACACCTCCTTGCCGTTCATGTACTGCTTCACATCGTCGTACACCTCGTTGAACACCTTCTCAGACACAGGCTTGTTGGGGGGGATCGGGCTCCACCAGATGTTGCTCTTGCTGGGCTCTCTCTCCACAAAGTATTTATCCTGAGGAGATCTTCCGGTGTAGATTCCAGTGTCTACTTCGAAAGCTCCGGTGTTCGTGAACACTCCTTCGTTGTTCTTCTTCTCGTGCTCAGCAATCTCATCTACCTATCAAACACCGCACACATCACGCACCATAAGTCAAGTTACGGTGAACCTTGCCGACGTTAATGCCCAGCTTATCGAGACCCAGGGCAGCTCCAGTGGTCTCAATATGGCGAGCTACACAACCCATCAAAGCCTGGCTCCTATTCCTCAGATACATTGTCAGCAAGTTACTTCAACACAGGGACAACGGATTTTACAAAACGAGCAGAAAGCATCTTTCCTTGTGTAAAAATATGGTATGAATGGTGGATGAAACCGCCCCTATGAAACTCCCTTGCAACTGAAAACAAACAAGTGGATGATACAAAAAAGCAAATACACAAAAAAGCAAATGAAGAATAAACTATACCATTTTGGCTTTTACCCACTACCTTTGACACGATCATCAAACCCTACTGAAACCAGGTAGCACAACCCCATCGCCTCGCCCAGCTTTAACTTGCACTCATCGATTCCAGACATATCGAACAGTTTCAGATAGCTGATGTTGCTCAATGCCCCATCCTACACAATGAGCGCCTCCCAGCAGCCCTACATCTATCAGCATGTCTGCTCGTGCGTCCGAGAACATCAGAGACAGCACCGGCTTGCTGCTGCTACTTCCCTTCAAGTCCTTAAACTCGGGCAGCGCGTCGATCTCGCTTTTCTTCTCTTCGATCAAAGCGTCGCGCGCCTGAATCACGCGCTGCATCTCCTCCTCGCTCAGACCCATTTTCTCGCGATAGTCCTCCGAGATGCCCATCAGGCTCCACATGCTGTCGAATCCCAGCTCTGCGAGCTCCTTGTAATGCCCCAGCAACTGCACGCCGCTCAGGAACTTGTACAGCTCGTCCGTGTTGATCATGATCTCGATGAGCTTCTTCCGATGTCCGAACTTCAGTCCGAGCGTCTTCAAGTCCTCCTCGGACAGCTGGAACATGTCTGCCACGGTCTCCACGCCGTGGCTGGTCAGCACATCCAGGTACTCGGCCATTCCCAGCGCGCTGAGGAATTCGCTCACGCTCTGATAGCTTCGCAACGACACCGGATGTCCCGCGCGCTCCGCCGCCTCCGCGCGCGCTCCGGCCTCTCCCGGCTCCGGTTTGCCGTCGCCTAGCGGGCTTTTTGCGTCGTCTGCGGGCTGAGAAACGACGGGCCGCGAGTAGGACGAAGAAGAGGAGGACAAAGGCTGCAACGGCGAGGGCTGGAAGGCGAGAGGGAGCGGAGAGGAGGGCCGCGCGGGCTTGCCGGGGCGCGGAGAGGTCTGCGCGCTGCTGCTGGAGGGCGTGGCGGGAGAAATGTCGGCGGGGAGGACGGGGATGGGGGAGAGAACGTACTCCTTGGGGGAGGAGAGGATGGAGGTGCGGGAGAGCGGGGAATAGAGATCGTCGGAGGGGGCGGAGAGGTCCAAATGGCTGGACGACGCGTTGGGGATCATCGAGATTTCCGACTCGGTCATCTCGGGAAGGAGACCCAAATGCTCCTTGATGCGGTCGTTCGCCGACGCGCCCAGACTGCGAGGCGTCACGCCGTTGTTGTCGGGAATGTCCGGGTCGAACCCGCGGTCCAGCAGCTCCTTCACGAGATCTAGCGGTCAGTCAGTCGCTCGAAGGACGCGTACCGCTTCGCCCTGCCTTCACCGCGATGTGGAGAGCCGAACAGCCCTGGTCGTTTCGCAGAAGCGTCGCTTCTTTGTTCGAAACGTATTTGAAAAAGGCTCGCAAACTCTCGCGGTCGTACCGCTGAACGGCGTCGAAAAAGGCCTCAGGGTAGCGATTCACGATCTCGGGGTTGTTGATGTACATCATCAGCGGAAAGCACAAGTGCACGGGCGTTTTCTGCGTCAGCGTGCGAATGCTCAGGCTCGCGCCGTGATCGACCAGATACTCCACCGTTCGGCTGTTCTCGCTTAGGCAGGCCCAGTGAAGCGGCGTGCGACCAAAGAAATCCTGGTCGTTCACATCAAAACCAGCCTCCACCAATCGCTCGATGATATCTGCAGATTACGCGCAGATTGCATTGCTACCAGTTGCATTGCACTGACACGCGATGTGAAGACCCGTCATCCCATGCAAATTACGAAAGTACTTCGCATGGGGGTCCATGAGGCAATTCTTCAATTTATTCTTGTCGCCATTCGAAATGGCGTTAAAAAAATCCTTCGGGTCATAGTTGACAAGAAAACACACAATCACCTCACTCGCAGTAAACTGAATCCACTCTGCAGTACCCTTCTTCTCATAGTCAACCGCCACATCATAAGCACTTCTCTCATCCTTCAGGTGAAATCGATTTGCGAGGGATACAAGTGTTTGAAGAGTGATATCAGCTCCACAACGAACGAGGACCTCGATACACTCGGTAAAACCGTAACACGCTGCCCAGTGAATAAACGCGAAGCCCCGCGTGTCAAATGCATTAAGATTACACTTAGTCGAACGGAGCGCTTCTTCCAATTTCTTTGCGTCTCCTTGCGACTCAATCATGCTCTCTACAATTTTCTGCTGAACTGAAGACTAGTCATCAGTCTACACTCCCAACAGTAATACGTTCACCCAAGCAGGCATTCTCGATTATTTTGGCAGGAATGATCTGAAACCAGATTGTTCCCTCCTCCTTGATTATCATGAAACCACTGCACGCATAGATGCCTAAAATCGAAACGTTTTCATTTGTTATCAACTTTTGCTTACCCGCTTTCTTGCCCCTTTGCCGTAAAATAGAGACATTCTCGTTACTATTTGATGCACTCTGACTCTATCACCGGATTCCAACAAACAAAATAAACCAAACTAGAAAACGAAAGCACCATTCGTAGCCATTACTTTGGCTTGGAACCAGCTTGCTTTAATAGTTCGTTCACAAACTCGTTAGAAAATCCTTTTGCATCCTGCGCCATTTTACCTGCCATGTTTCCTGCCTACAAATGACCAAATGATCTCTTGCCTACAGCCTTCGCGCCCTGCTTTATCGATTTCACGCCCTTAACGGCGGCTCCAGCAGCTTGGCGCATTGTCTGCGATTGAGCCATTTTCTGAGTAACAAAAGTATTGAGGAACTGAGAGAAAGCTCTTCCAATAAAGGACATGTAACTACAGACGAGTGGAAAAGAATTTATAAATGCAAAATCGACCCAGTGTGGAAAACAAACAGTACAATTTATATAGCTTTACTTTAAACAACAGACTCGGGTCTCGGGATAGCTGTGGGGCACTTTGGCATCACTTCTCCTATTTCCACCAAACGTTTCATCTATCCATAATCCAGGAAAATTAACAGCATACGCAGTTCTCCACTTCCTTATCGGTCATATCTTCCAGATCAAGCTCGCGCATATTGTTGTAGTCTAGGGATCACTGAATCTGTTTTGACCACTACCGTATCTAGCAAGCACCTTTGCCCGAGTTCCGTCGCATTCTCGCACGATGATGGGGAGAATTGGGTTCATGGCCTTCAAGCTGTAGTATTGTTTCTCAATAAAATCACTATAACAAATTACACAATCGGAGAGAGATAGATACCGGACACCCTTGCTGCCTGCCGAGCTCTCGCAATAAAGGAAACGGACCTCCTGAAGACACTTTCCAAGCTTATAACGCCACGCCATTGTAATACACTCTATATACGATCCTTAGAGAAGACGATTTAGCTGTTCAGAAAATAGCATGTCGTCCCACGCCAATCGGATAAAAAAACAAGCGACATACAATCTTGGATTTTCGCTTTGGGATCGAATTAAAATTTCAATCTAGAGCAGACTGATAGAATTTTCAATGTTAAACAGGTTCCAAACATAAGAACACAACCCATGGAAAACGGAGTACAACCAGGAACGACTTGCGCTTAGAACAAACAAGGAAACAACATGCAATTCGGCCCCATTTACTCCGCTTTCCCAAGAATCTCCTTCTCGTGGTAGATTATTTCCGCTACACGTCACACCAATCCGTTCCAATCAAACCATTATTAAAGATGCGATCGATAAGAGAAATGACTGTCACCACTCCCGCAATAATGGCAAAGAGGGACGTGATGAAGTGATAGAACGGCTTCTCCACATCCGAAATCACAATCGTCAACGGATTGAACTCAAAGCTAAACGTGGCCTCCGGGAAATCCTCATCGCTGATTCCCATCCCGCTATCACTCGTATATTGATACAGATCGACCGTCTGCTCCTTGTGATTAATCTGCGTGGGGAACACCTTCAGAATATGCTCATAGGAGGTGTTCGTGGTGTACACTGGGAATGACTTCCCCTTCAAAACGTTCATTCCCTTCCGAATCTGCCCAGACACCGCCTCCAACTCATACGGCCGCAGCTCGTCGCCGAACGTCAGCGAGTTCACCTACTTCCCACGCCCCCGCTCCCTCTACGATGTGCGAAACGTCGATCTCCGCGGGCAGAACCGACCGCTGCGACCCGTGGCACGAAATGTGGAAATTCCCGGACATCCGCGGGACCGTCAGCGAGCCCTGCAGCCGACAGCCCTCCTGCCCCGCGGTGAGGTTCAAAAGCGGGAGGTTGGCGGTCACGACGTCGCCCGCCTGCTTCAGCAATCCCTCCAAGAAGGCGAGGATGCTGTCCACGCTGCGCTGGCCGTGGTAGTGCGTGTATTTGTAGGGGCTGGTGGGAGTGAACGCGATCAGAGTCGGCAGCGCCTGGATTCGGTTCATGTGGCAGACATCGCGATTGCCACGGTCGGTGCAGTCGACCTTGGCGACGATGACGTTGGCGGAGAGCGAGCCTTGGACTACGCGCTGCGCGACGCCTTCGTAGATGGGAGCGAGCGCTTGGCACCAATGACACCATGGAGCGAAGAAGTTCACGAGGACCACCGGCTTGGAGGAGGTGATGCGCTGGAAAGCCTGGGTGCCTTTGATCAACGTGCTGACCGTTTCGGTCTTCATGACATCTTGATCGCTGAGGTCGAGATTCAGCTCCACTAGGAGTGAGAAGGGAGTGAGAAGATAGAGGAGTACTGGGAGATACCTCGCGAGAAACACCGTTTTCAAAAACTTGCCAGCGCCGAATGTTTTGAGTGACATTGATCTACAGATTGGATCAAACGATAAGAGGAAAGTACACGGTGCGTACCCATCTGATTTACAATGTCCAGAGAAGCAAGATCACACGACAAGCTTTTCATCGTAATATCAAAATTGATTTGGATATACTCATCGTCGTGCTGTTCAATGATATAATCAGTTCGAGCTAACAGTCAGTGAAACAAAAAATCCTCACTATCAATTGTAAAATAGTTATTAAATTCAAGGGCTACCAGAGCAGCCACCAAGATGTAGCAAACAATTGTGAGAATTGTACCACAGATGGAACCTTCAGTAAGGTCGACTGGCACCTTTCTAGATCGATTGAAGGAGGCTCGAGCAACTACCTAAACATATCAAGTTTCCGAACGGTTGATCTCCACCCCATGTTGAAAAAACTATAAACTCATCGTCGATTGTGTGTCCTTTCATCCATATTCCCTCCCTTTTAAAGCGTGCTTTTCCTTGGTTGATTCTCAAAAGTGGAATTCCAAAATTAGGGGAATTGTCGAATAAGCATGTCAGTATTCCATTCGTTTACCTGTTCCCCTACTAATGTTCCGATCAGCAGTCGGTAAAGTAATTCGTCTCGGAGCTCAGTCCTCCAAAAGAATGAGTTCTACTCTAACTCTTGCTTCTCCTTCCCGCTCCAATGTCGGGTATGCGCTTGCTCTTGGAGCCTTCGGAGCAGCCTCAATCTTCATGATTAGAAAGCATTTGAATGCGCAGGAAAAAGAAGGTGGTTATTTGTACACTTGGTATACGTTTCGTGCAGTTTGGTGATGGGCTAGGGGAAGTGGGCAATTTGGACAACTCGGAATTGGTACGCAGAACGATGAGTCGCTTCCTCAGATTGCCAAGGAAATCGACAACGAAATCTGCACTTTCACTGCTGCCGGAGCGAACAGTAGGCGTGTTTCCCTCACTCCCTCCAACTCTAGCTACCGCTGCCATTACGCAGGGAGGCGTGTTGTGGACCTTCGGTCAGGGCGACAGCAACCAGCTCGGCCACGGCGACACGGGCGATTGCTCCAACCAGGTCCTTCCGCGCGAAGTGGAAGATGCCTTCGATGGCCTCTCCGTCGTGAACTGCTCCATCTGCGACGGCCACATGGCCGCCGTTACCGAGGACGGCTCCGTCTGGACCTGGGGTCGCGGCACCTTCGGCCGTCTGGGTCATGAGTTCCCCATCGCATGATGCCTCAGCTCGTAGAGTCCACGAGACCGGAATTCCCGAAAAAGTCCCCGGATTGGACGGCATGCGCTTCGTGAAGGTCGCCTGCGGCCACGTGCACACCCTCGCCCTGACCGATGATGGCCGCGTCTTCGCGTGGGGCAACAACAAAACCGGCTGCGTGGGCGTTTCGGACCGCGGCACGTGCGCCCCGCAGGAAATCGAGTCTCTGCGCGGAAAGAAGATCATCGACATTTCCGCGGGAATGGAGTCGTCTGCGGCGCTGTCGGCGGAGCACGAGGTGTACACGTGGGGCGCGGACAACTACGGGCAGCTGGGTCTGGGCCAGGGAGCGCGGTACATCAGCCAACCGACGCGCATCCGGACTCTGCGCAATGTGCCGATCGTGCAGATCGCGTGCGGGCAGTACCACATGCTGGCGCTGTCGGCGGCCGGAGAGGTGTACGCGTGGGGCCAGGGCCTGCAGGGCCAGACGGCGAACGAGAAGAAGGTGGACACGAACATCCCGCACGTGATCGACGCGCTGAAGGAGAGCCGTGTGAAGATGATCGCGGCGGGAGGGTCGCATAGCGCGGTGGTGGACGATAAAGGACGGCTGTTCACGGTAGGAGAGGAGGAGGACTGGGAGGTAGTTCGGGTGCGGACGGAACGGACAGCTGGGGAGAGGCGATAAAGTGGAGAGCATCGCGGCGTATCGCGTGGTGCCTACGCTCGTCGAGTATCTGCAGGGAGTCAAGGTGATGCAGGTGGTCTGCGGAGGCGATCACACCGCGGTTATTGTGGATCGGAAGGTTTGAGAGGGGAAGGAGGAAGGAGAGTGCGGGCCTGGAAGTGCGGAATGAGGCTTTTTTGGGGTGGTGGTGTTTGTTGAATAACCGCGGAAGCGCAGATTTGTTTTGGTTGGGAGGATTGCGTGCAGTATGGAGGACGAAGAGTATCAATTTGAGTCCAATCTGGAGGAGGAAGAGGATTATGGATTTGGGGAGAGTAGTGATGAATCGACCGAGGAAATTGTCGATTATGAGGGAATGAAAAATGCGCTGGAGCTGTTTCAACAGGTTTGTAGTGGATTTGGGAGTGGCTGTGGCTCATTTGTGTGTAGTCCGATATCGCGAAGGAAGCACTGGAAAACGGAGTGGATCTAGTCGAGTACGAGCAGAAAATCGTGAGCGACCTCACTGCTGCTTCTCAGGCGTCGGTTGCGGATTATATTGCTGAGAGTGTGCACTTTGCAAAGCTTCATAAGTGGATTTTGCTATGGATTCTGAGGGGTAGAGAGATTAACGATTGTGACGCGCTTCTCGAACAAATTCAGTCACTTTTGCACACTTATCAGAGTAGTCTCACAGGAGTCGCAAACGAAATCCGAAATCTACAAGTGCTCTCCAAGAATTGGATTCATCGCTAGAACGACAGCGTAGCCATTTCGCAAAAGCTCGAAAATCGCCGAACAATGGATAGCATGATACGCGGCTTCATCAACCAGGTGGCCATCAATCCGAACATGGTGAAAGTGCTCGTCGAAGTACACCCATTGTTTTTTCTCTTTTTAACCTTACCAGGGCGAAATAAACGATGAATACATAGCGACGCTTCACAAATTCGACGCCCAGCTGGACTTCGTGTCCCAAGACGTTGAAAACGTGGGTATTTTTGCCATTCGATCGAATTCCAGGAGGAACTCCACGTAACCACCTCCGAAGTCAAGGCGGTCAAAGAGGTGCGGAGCGACCTGAACATCCTGAAATCGCAATGCGGCGCGCGTGTCCGCGATTATCTGCTCGGAATCGTCCACAAAATCACGGCAGAATCCAACCTGGAGGAGCTCCAGAACTCCGAACTCCTCGGAACCGCGGAAATCATGCTCTTCCTGAAGAAGCACATCCCCAAGACCTTCGAGGAAGTGGGGAAACGGGGAAACTGGGACGTAGATCAAGCGGCAGTACGTCGGATTGGTCAAGGAAATCATGATGAACCGCGTCAAATCCTACCGCGAACTGTACCAGAACCGCGGGAATTCCTCACCTATAGCCTGCAGCCGCACGAAACCACCGTCGGGAACCCCGAAGATCCGCTCGTGGTTTCCCCTTTTCCCCTTTTTGTGAGTCGTAGCACACGCAGAGCGTCGTTCGCTCGTTCCTCAAAAAGAAGGTTTTTTTGGGGTTCCACGTTTCCACGATAGGCGCAGAAGACCCTCAAGGAATACGGTGTGGAGGGATTCGGCCTCGAGAACCGCGGGGACGTCCTCAATCACCTGGAAGACCCTCCGATTTTGGTGGAACCGCTGCAGGAAGGCGACGATCCGGACCTCGATTTCCCCGTTTGCTACCGCAGTTTGATCGTATCCCGCGGGGAAGACGGCTGAGTCGCAGAAGGTGATGACGGACTCGGCGTTGGCGGAGTTTTCGTTCGTGAAGGCCTTCTTCCACGCCGAGGATTCCGCGGTTTTCAACGAGATTTTCCGGGATGTCTGCAAATACGTATCTCCGTTTCCACGTTTCCACGTAGCTGCAAACGCAGACGCTGGAGTGGTGCGCGAATTCGGTGGACTTCGTGGGCGTTTTGCTGGTGGCGATGCTCATCCAATCAATTGTGACGGTTTCGTTCGATCGAATTCGATGAAGTGCAGCGCCTCCAATCGCGGGAATTCCCCGTTCTCATCGACTTCTGGCTGCCGCTCCGCGACAAGGTCCTGGCGCGATTTGCCGCGATTCTGGAGAAGCACGCGGGCGTAACTCCCCATCTGATTGGCTGATTGAATTAGGCGGCAAAAACCGCGCAGACGCAGGTGAAGTCGATGAACATCACCGAGCAGCTGCACTACGCGATGAAGCGCTACGCCTGCATGGCGGGAGCGATTTTAGTGGGGATTTTTGGAGTGTTTGAAGTAGGCGCTGGGCGAAAAATACCCCGAATTTTTGCCAGATCGGAGCAAGTGGGAGCAGCCGCTCGATGGATTAACCGCGGAAGTGATGACGCTGATGCAGAAGATGAGCGAGTGCGTGGTGGAAGACGTGGAAACGTGGAAACGGAGTGAGGGATAGAGGCAGATGGAATACTGTTTCAACACGCTGTGTTACATTCTGCAACAGTGGAAGGATTTGGGCGTTACGGTGACGGTAGAAACGTAGAAACGTGGTAACGTGTAGAAAGGGGAAGTGTACGAGTTGTTCGAGAAATACGTGGTGGAATTCTTGGATTCGGTGATGGCGGAGCACATGAGTAGGGTCGAAAAGGGGAAATGAGGGAAAGGCTTCTTGTATGAGTTCGTGAAGAAGAACGAGAATAAAAAGGGATCGCATTTGAAGCTGTCGAGCAATGAAATGAAGGGATTGAAGCGATATAAGGAAGGATTCAAGGACGACATCAAGGAAATGAACGATGCGATCCACGCGAAGGTGGAGAATTACGCGTTGGAGGTCTACAAAGCGGTGCGATGGGAGGAAAGAGGATTGATGGGTAGTTTGTGAAGCAGGTCAGCGATTATCACACGAAGTACATTCAGATTCTCGGAGGAACGTCCTTCGTGAAGGAGCTGGTGCCGGTGAAGCATGTGGTGAACGAGGCCATGCAGTACAGTGCGCAGTATGAATGAGAATGAGAAGAGAAACGTTTGGTGTTTTGTTTGTTGTGAAAGAAAGATAGATAGATAGTGATGAATGAATGAATGAATGAATGAAACAAACACACAAACAAGTAAGCATGTACACTAAAACTATTCTATTTTGATTCGTTTTTCCACAAACGGATCTGTGTCGTTCGCGCCTTCCTGCATCGCTCCTCCCTTCTCCTCCCCACTCGGCTGTAGACTGCTCTCCAGATTGGTCTGCACGCTGCTCTGCACGCTCTGCGCCTCGTCCTGATTGGCCGGAACCGCATCCGGATCCACATACCCCGGATTCAATTGTCCGCCTCGCGCGATCACTTCCTCCTCCGTCAGAATCGTCATTTTATTCATCGTGTCGCCCACGCAGCAATTCGGACAGTAGAACTGCGCGGCCTCGTCGTTCACATCCACAAACCGGCCCCCATACATCGTTAAAAACCCGAGATACTTGCACTCCGCGTACCCCAAACAGTCCGAGTGGAACCACATCCCGCACCCATCGCACTGCACGAGAAACTCCGTGTTCTCCCACTCCAACGTGCGACACACGCAGTACACCTTCTCCGGACTTTCCTTCGTGATTCGGAACCGATCCGGGTCCAGCAGTTGGCTCGTCAGATCGGTCAGTTCCAGCGCGTCCTTCATCACCAGCTTCGCGATGGCCTGCTTCTCCGCGTCCACGCTCGGATAGCAGTAGCTCAGCAGCGACAAATAGATCTCTCGGATGTTGAAGAGCAGCTGCTGCGGCTGGTAGTAGCTCCGGCGACGGTAGTGTCGGAAGAACGCCTGGATCGTCCCGTTCGCCACCGAGTAGCCCTTCCAGTTCCCGTAGATCGGCAGCTTCTTCTCGTCGATCAGCGCCTGGATCTTCAGCAGCACGTTCTCGTCGTTCTCCAGCAGCAGTCGCCCGCAGTGGCTGTCCTTCAGCCACAGCAGAATCGCTTGCTGGAACCGGTCGGACTGCGATCGCGGCTTCCGCGTGATGGTGAACTCCGTCGTGCTGTTCGGCTTGCGCCGCAGGCTGCTCAGCTTCTGCTTCGCGCGCTGCTTTCTCCGCTCTCGACGCTTCCGCATCCGCTCCAGCCCCTGGTTCTTCGCGTCCTCGTTGGATTCCGCCGTGCGACGCGGTCGCCCGCGCTTTCGAACGGGCTGCGGCGGGTCTTCGTAGTCGTCGTTCACTTTCTTTCGGGGCAGCTCGTCGCCGCCGATGGGCGAGACCCAATCCTCGCAGTGCTTTCGAGGCAGACTGCGGCCTTGGAAGCCTCCGGAGTGCTGCCAGCAGTGCATAAAGAAGTCTTTGTCGACGAGAACGTCCTCGACGGGCACCGCGTTGCGTCCGATTTTGTTGTTCCAGAACATTTCGAGCTGGTATTCGATGGCGCACATCGCGTGGACGCCGCGCGTGCAGCCGGCGCAGCAGCAGGGAATCACGCCGCCGCGGTGGCGGCAGAGCTGGCAGGCGAGGGCGCGGCGTTGTGAGCCGAGGCGCGAAGTGTCGATGAGATAGCGACGGCGATCTGGATCGGAACGGAGCGAAGTGTAGGGACTGATGTAGACGGAAGGGGAAGAAGATGGGATCGGGGGAGGCTGCGGAGTAGGCTGCGGTTCAGTGGGCTGCGGTTCAGTGGATTGGAGCTGAGATGACGGATCAATCGATTTCTGCTCACTAGATTGTTCATTGGATTGTTCATTGGATGGCTGCTCGATGGGTTTTGCTTCATTTGCGGTCGGTGCTGCACTACTCGCAGGATTGAATTCCGTTCCCATTTCCACTTCTGCTTCCATTCCAATACACGCACACTTCGGATGCGTGTTGGTTACGCTGCAATAGGGATGCCACAACGCACACGCCACATGCGCGTACTCCCCTTCGTTCAGCGTCGGCATCATCGCTCCCTTGCTGAATCCACAAATGCAGCAATGCACCTTCGCTCGCAACTCGTGCAGTCTATCCAACACCGTGTACATCGACGAGTCCTCCTCCACCGCCTCGCTCGCCTCCGTGTTCTTTGGAGTCACGTGCAGAACGTCCCTTACGCCCATCTGCTTCACCAAGATGTCCTCACACACATTGCAGAACCAATCGCCCTGCGGAAGCCGCGTGAGATCGTAGCAGCACTGATGCACAGTCGCGTTGCATCCATCGCAGAATAGAATCATATTCCCATAATCCGAATCGCCATCGCCACACACTTCGCAGATCGCATCGTCGTCTTCTTCCTCCGTCTTTACGAGATCGGGATGCTTCTCGCGCGTGTATTTCATCACTTCGTCGTGGAGCTTCTCGCAGCGCTCCTTCAGAGTTAGCGATTCCTCGCTCGACTGCTCGCTTTGCGCCAGCGACAGGGTCAGTTTTCCCAACAAAGCCTCGTTTTCTTTCATCACATGAAACAGTTCTTCTTGGCAATGCTCGAGCTCGCGCTCCAATTCGTTTCCGTCGGAAATCACAACGTTCTCCCCTTCCGATTTCACGAACATGGCGTGGCGGATCGATAATGGAGAGGACGAAGAGGTCTCTGCGACTGTCGATGGCTCCACGAAATGCGGAACCTCGTTATGAATATATAACGAGATCGAATCTGGAGTGGTCGTAATGGATCGACCGATATCCGTCATCGCGGACTGAGAAGAAGATCGAAGCCAATGCGGATCGATTTGCTGAATGGCCGACTGCGAAGGTGAGGAATAATGATCCACAATCTCGCTCTTTTCGATCTTCCCTGATTTACTAATCTGCAAATGAAGCGTTCCTTTCATCTGATTTGAATTCGAACTCTGTGAATCCGAGTTGGACGCTAAAGTACAAAGCAGAGTGCCTCGATAGGACGAACTCATATGCTGCAACAGAATGTTCTTCGCATCGAAATCGACCAGACTGATCTGCATCGGCGTGTAATGCTTCCCTTCGCCCTTCGGCAGAGCCTTCATTCCGTACTGCGACGTGTAGAACGACACCGAATTGTCCGTCGAGTCGCAGCATCCCATCGTCATCTGACACTTCTGGCCATGCAGAAACGCCAGCGACAGCAGCACCGATCCCGTCAGCGGCTCAGCGGACGCTCCGTACGTCTCGATATACTTCGCGTGCGTTTCCGGTGTGACTTTCTGCAATGTGCAGACATACACAGCGCGCACAGCGTCTCGGTCTTTCCCCACACAAGGGTAGTACCACATCAAATAGTAGTGCACCATGCCCACGGGGATTCGCTCCCCCTTCGCGTTCCGCCGCTCCGCGACAATCACGAACTCGTTCTTCTCGTAGAACGTTCCAGAATAGTCCTGCTCTTTCGAGAACGTGGGGTTGATCGTGTTCACTTTGAGCAGCCACGGAATATCCTGGCGATACGCCCGTCGAAACATCGTGTTGGAGCACACGCCGTTCTTCGCTGCCCAGGCGATGAACTCCTCGTCGACAAACCAATCGTGCGCTTCGCGCAGATCGGCGAAGTCGTTGATGTCGAATCCCTGGAACTGCATTGTTTTCTGGAGAGAACTGTTGGTGGCGCGGTGACTGCTGGAGGAAACGCGGAAGAACTGTTCTTCTTCTTCGAAGATGGGCGGTGCGTGGCTTTGCGTGCCGAGAGAAGGAATGATGAAGGAGGTGTCGCCTCGCAGAGCGTTGAGTTTGACTTCGGATGGAAGGGAGAATGAAGGGGTTAGGAATTGCTGGGCGTAGGCGATGAGCTGGGAGGAAAGCCAGGAAGAGTGAGTGGATGTGGGGCGCAGGAAGGGAATGGCCGCAGAGAAGAAGTTAAAGAACGATTCGAAGTTCTGCAGATTGGGCTTGACGACATAGTAGAACTGGATCAACGACCAGAACACATCGGATGAGATCACCGATTCCTTTTCTGGCTTCAATCTACCATTCATCACTCTCTCTTCCAAACCTACTTATCCAAAATCTCCTTCGGAATCGATCCCGTTGGCTCCTGCTCTTTCGCTCGTCGTTTTCGATTCGGACCTCTTCGCTTCTTCTTCGACGTCGTCGTGTTCCCTCCATTCATCTTCGGCTTCCGATCGTTCTTCTTCTGCGTGTGCGACTTGCAGTAACTCAGATACATAAACTGTCCTCCTTTCTCGTCCGATGTCAGCAAATACCCCGCCTGCTGCGCACAGTACGGATGATACGCGATCGAGCAATGCCGACTGCTGCACTGCACACACCCGCCTCCCTTCACTCCACAAATCGAGCACACCAGCTGCGCGCGCTCGCGCGAAATCCGGTTGATTCCCTCGACCAGCACTTCCGGACCCGTGAAATTCAAAGACAACTCGGGAGTGTAGAATACGCAAATGAGGTGGACGAAGATCCCGTCTTCCGTGCAGTGCATCGCACCGTCCGGCTTGTTACAGATATAACAGTACGTGCTGCTCGGAGCCCTTCCATGAGAACAGACGCTGCACATCCAGTCGCCTTCTGGGAGCGTAGCGATGCCATAGCAGCTCTGATGCACGGCGAGATTGCAGTGGTCGCAGAACACGAGCTGGTCGTCGGGCTCGCTGTATCCGTAGCCACAGATGTTGCACGTCTCTCCTTCCTCTTCTTCTTCTTCTTCGGTTTCTCCGGGTCCCTCGGTCTGGGTTTTCTCTGAGGGTTCGATGGGGGCCTCCACTTCCATGCGTTTATCGACCTCTGGGATGGAGGAGGTATTGCGTGGTTCTGGGATGGAGGAAGCATCGCGGGGTTCTGAGATGGAGGAAGGGAGTTCGGGTTGAATAGATGTGTTGTCTTGAGGATGAGACGATGTGTGATTCGAAGAATGGAAAAAATCCACGATTGTTGGCTGATCCTTGACAGTGGATTCTTTTGATTCCTTTGATTCTTTGAGTTCCTTCACTTCCTTGGGCTCTTTAGATTCCTTGTGTTCCTTTGATTCTTTTGATTCCTTCACTTCCTTCACTTCATTGGATTCTTTTAATTCTTTTGATGCCTTTGATTCCTTTTCAATTTCCATTTTCTTTTCTTCCTGGTTAACAACCTCCGTTTTCATTTCGTTTGTCGCCTTCTCCTTTGTCACAACAACGCTCCCTTCGCTCTTTGCTTCCATCAAAACGCCTTTCTTTTCATTCTTCATATTCTCCTCTTCTCCAGTCTTCTGTCCCCTCCCTTCTTCTTCTTTTTCTTCTTCTCCAGCAGCTTTCTTCCCATTCTTCGGCTCACTCTCGCCCATTCCAGACACCACTGCCTGCTGCTTCCCATCCACTCGACTCTCTTTCTTTGCAGACGCGGAAACAGATAATATCGTTTCAGATTCTTTCAGTTTTCGCTTTTTGGGATGGTGCGGCTGGTGATATTTCACGAGTCGGAGCGATTTCTTTGTGGCTGTATCCTGTGTGTCTGCGTTGGACGCGTGGTGGATTCGGCAAGCAAAGAGATCATCCGAAACAGCGGAGTGAAGTGAAATGTCGGGGAAAAACTCACAAAAACAGATTGGGTGGAACGAAAAATTGCAAGAAGGCGCTCTGCACTTTACTAAAAACCCACTCCGAATGTGGCAATAGAAACAAAGCTCTCTCGATCGGAGCATCAAACGAGAGGATGGTGTTGGAAGTAGTTTCTGTAAAAACAAATCTAGATTGTGCACTCTCTCGCCGCGAATTGCAGAAAAATCTACTGGAGACACCAAAAACAGATTAGCGAAGGACTGAAAGTCGATGGTTACATTTCCTGTCCATTGCTGTGATATTTGTAACGTGTCATATATAGAACGGTACTTGGTGACATACATGTAAAACAGAATAGCGCACTTGCCATGGACCCAATTGTTCCCATACAGCTCTTCGAATTAAAATGCTCACAATGCCTTACTGAACGACAGCGCGGTACCAATTTCTCGGTCACACAGGAAACACTGGCAGATGCCAGGCTTTCCAGAAAGATACTTGCAACGGTCACAAACCCATTCGCTTTCAAGTGTTACCGGAAGACATTCTTTATGGATCTACAACAAGTTAGCATTTGAACCTAATCTCCAAGATAGTTGACAAACAAGACACTTTTTATGTCGCACACATCCTGTTCATTCCAAATCCAAACTCAAACCCAACATACTCTTGTAGAGCACGAAGAACACTGAATAAGCTCCCCCTCCTCCTCGCAATAACAAGATTTGTATTCTATGTCATGCTTCGATTGATTCATAATGATATCAATCGTTTGGATTCTGCTCTGAACGAAATTGAATTGGAGGGAACTTTCCCACCAATTTTCAATATCTCACAATTATTTTCAGATGACAAGAAGTGCCAATTGATAAAGGGAAATACGGCCGATTTCAACAAACAAACAATCTCTAATCTCTTGGAAGGCTAGCAATTAGCCTAGAGAACGCGACCGTCTTCAGCTTTGATTTTATGAAATCGTCAAAATCAAGTCGATGGCAAACCATCAAATCTTCTTCGTAATCACTCGGATAGAGTATTTCATCCAGAATAACAAGCGCATCCCCCGACTAAAGTTCATCCAAAGCATATAAAAAATCTACAACAACCAAGGAATATGCATTGATCATGTCGCTCGCCTCTTGAATCGCAGATCTACGTCTCAACTAGAACGTAGGTTGTACATCTGCTGCAGATTCACTTTGTGGAAGACAAAGAAGGCACTCTTCAACTCTCTCCGATCCTGGAACTCCAGCGCTTTGGAAAAAACGTTCATGTAGAACTCTAAATACTCCCAGTACTTCTGCTCCAGTGACTTTTCTCGCAATAACCGCTGCTCGTTCTCTAGGATGAAGCTTAAAATCGAGACCTACCCACTCGCTGATAGAAGAAAATGTCATCGAGCGCACAAGAATCCTGCGGAATTGGAAGAATTTCATTATTCTCCGTCTTGTAGAATCGAGAAACTTGATTCGTCCTGTTGTTTGGATAGTGAGGCAGGGACGGAGTTTGCCCTCTATAGAGATTGCTGGAAAAGGAATATTCTTGCTTTATTGATATTGCTATTCATCAAAACAACCAAAAGATCTCTACTCTCCTGATCTGGAGGCGTAGAATCTAATAGCTGCTTTATATAAGGTTCCTCCACCAATTCGGATGAATGGGTATCTTCTAAACAAATGGGGCAAGGACCATGTCCCTGTTTTTCATACAACTATGCGTGATTCCATTGAGCAGAGTTTTATACCTCTAAAAACGATGCCTTATCGAAAAACTGCAAATGACGACATCTCTTTCCTCGAACAGGGACGCTGACTTTGGAAAAGGAAATAGGGCATAAGCATGACACAATGCATGCTATATCAACCACATCATCATTCTGATTCATTTCTGCTCTTAGGCCTTTCAGAGATATAACAAACTATGAGAAAGAAAGAAAAATCAGGGTTTTCTCTTCTGCCCAATAGAAAAGAATACAAAATCGAAGGATCATATTGTCGAATACGAGAATGGATTGTACCAATAATATTGCAAAATCAAGGTATGTAAATTGCTCCTAAAAAAGCTACAATTCGTTTCGAAAGGGCGAGGTAATTATTCGATGAAATCACTCACTCGTAATGCTTCATATCGAGAACCAGGTCTCAATTACAGAACAGAATAACAAAAACAGAATTGGAACATTTATTTACAAAAGACACCCTATTATTAAGGTCTTCTCTTTCCACCTCAACAAAACCAAGGATTTCGATGTTTTCTAGAATTGCTTCTGCTAGCACTGCCTTCCTGTCGAGACAAGCAACGAAATTTTCTCGTCCGGTGTATGGTTTGAGCCGTTTCGCTAGTCAGTCCTCTCGTGCCTATTCCACGGGGTCCGCTAGTGGTAGAATTCCATCGTGATTGAATAATTCGGTAGCATCTTATTTCCAGTATGGATTTGCTGTTGCCGCTGGTCTTGGCTGCGGTGCGGCTGTTCTTTACGGAAACCGCTTGTTTGCCGTTGAGGCAAGTGTCTACTACACTCTATAATGCGTAGGATAAGGAGCCGCTCCACATTCCTTGTTTGGATCCCCACTGTCCTTGCGACGATGCCAGCCTTCACCCCTGCACGAAGGACCACCATTTCGTCCCTGGTTGCCACGAGCTGAAGATCGTCTCTGGAAACAGCAACCGTCCTCTGGCCGACCGCGTTGCGTCCTGCCTTGGTTTGCACTCTCCCCAACCATCACGTCTAGGCACTGCAGTCACCAATTGCGCCGTGTCCAAATTCAATGACGGCGAGACCTCGATCCAGATCAACGAGAGCGTCCGCGGAAAGGACGTCTACATCATCCAGTCCCTCTGCGCCCCGACGAACGACAACCTGCTGGAGCTGATCTTCCTGATCAGCTCAGCGAAGCGCGCGTCTGCGAAGCGCGTGACGGGAATCATTCCCTTCTTCAGCTACCGCCAGAACATGCAGCGCGTGAACAACCTCCCCGCCAACACCTCCTTCGTGATGAGCTCCGCCGCGGAAGTGGCGAAAATGCTGGAAGTCGTGGGCGTGGACTACGTGGTGCTGGTGGATATGGAGAGCCAGAGCCGCCTCGGCAAGCTGGACGGCGGAATCTTCTCGAACCGCACGCCGGTCGAGGTGCTGGACGCCAGCAATCTGATCATCGATTACTTGAAGGACAAGGTGAATCCGGAGCGCAAGGTGGTGGTGCTGACGCCGCATCCGAAGGATCTGCCGCGCGCGGCGCTGGTGCGGAACCAGCTCGCGGAGTACTACCCGGGCTTGGACATCCGCGCGATGGAGGGCGAGTATATCTCGCAGATTCTCGGCGGAGAGGAGAGCTGGGAGGAGAAGGACATGAAGAACCCGGAGACGCTGAAGAACTGCGATGTGATCATTGTGGACTTCGCGGTGAGCTCGGGCAAGACGATGACGCGATGGGCGAACTTCGTGAAGTCGAAGGGAGCGAACCATGTGTTCGGAGTGGCGTCGCACGGAGTGCTGATGAACCAGGCGCCGAAGACGATTCAGTTGAGCGATCTGGAAGAGCTGATGGTGCTGGATACGGTGCCGGTGCCGCAGGAGAAGATCGATCAGTGCAATAAGCTGCGCGTGATTTCGGTGGCTCCGATGATCGCGAATGCGGTGAAGGACATTCACTACGTGGATAAGGAGAGATTTGTGTTCAAGGAGGAATAATAAAAGAAGGAATTGTCATTTGACGTGTTTGGAGGAAACAAACGAAAACACTAATCAAGTTTACCAGAGCTTACAAGGAGTTTTCGAGAGCGTTGAGTGAAGTTGGAGGAAGCGGGAGGATGGAAATGATCGTCGGAAGAATCGTCGGAATCATGAGAATGATCATCTGAATCGTGAGAATGATCATCCGAATCATCGGAGTGAGCATGAGAATGGCTATGGGCATGATTCTGACTGTGCGAATGATGGAAGGAATGGTTGTGATTGTGTCCATGTTCATGTTCATGTTCGTGATCGTGATCGTGATGCGAATAATTCTCCATAAATGAACGGATCACTCGATTGGGATCCGTTCCAGAGCTTACAAACTTCTCATAATCCTCTTCTCTTCCTCGCGATGTCACCTGCACCACGCTATCATGGATTCCCACCTGCTCCAACAAAGCTTTCACGTTCTTCCACACCTCCATTTCCTTCCCTTCCACCACTAAAATGTGCATCGAACACACCGTTTCGTCTCCCGTATACACGAAAAACTGCGGAGACGCGATTCCTCGCACACCTTCCATCGCGCAGATCGCTTCTTTCACGCTCTGCCAGAGCGACTCCTTTCCTTCTGGGACATAGTGAAGCAGGACACGCGACGAATGATTCACCAGCGGGAATACCGACAGCAGAATGAGAACGGAGATGATGAACGCGCAGATCGGATCGGCGATCCACAAACCGTATTTCTACTCCTCAGCCATCTTGTCAATCCGCACTTGAATCAAAAAGGTGGACAGAATCACGCCGACGGATCCTAACGTATCAGCCAACACGTGCAAAAACACGCCGTGCATGTTATCGTTCTAACTCTCATTCTATTATCCTGCTCTACATGCTCGTGTCCATGCGAATGTCCATGCGAATGTCCATGATCGTGTCCATGATCGTGTCCATGATCGTGTCCTGCATGACTCACATCATGGAAAAACACAAGTCCGATCAGATTGACCAGCAAACCGCCCACCGAAGTCGCCATTAACTGATTGTCGCCCACTTCAGGGGGATTGTGAAGGCGCTCCAGCGACTCCATCGCCACGCTGAAGCCCACGAATACCAGAAACACGCCATTCACAAGCCCCGAAAGCACTTCCACGCGTTTGAATCCGAAGGAATAAGTCGGACTGGATGGCCATTGCGCCATATACGAAGCGATCAACCCGATCACAAGCGCGGAACTATCGAACAACATGTGTCCCGCATCGCTTATGAGTCCTAGACTGTTGTTCCAAAGGCCTGCAAGGGAATCGAGAAGGGAAATGCCCACCGACGACGAGCTCGACGAACATGAAGGCGAGATTAATCGAGAGATAGAGGAAGATTTTCCTGCCCGATTTCGAGGTGAAGACAAAACGAAAAAACTAGTTATAACCGATGCTGACGGAAACGCACGCGAAACATCGAAGAGCCGTTTCGTTCCATCTTTTTTCCCCTTTTCGCCGGTCGGTTGAGGAACAAAAGTCCGATCGAGATCACGACCGAGCAAATCACCGCCGATCGACTCAGCTACTCATCAAATCCGCATCGGATTGGCACCGTGAACTGTCTCTGCATGGTTTCTAGCAAAATGGCGGTTAGAAGGCTGGAATGGTAGCCCACGCGGTTGGTGAGACGCTCCGAAACGGAGCGATTGGTGAGGGAATGCAGGTAGAACATGGCGACCATGCAAGCAAAGGCGCTGATAAAGAGATTGGAGAGCTCGTGGACGGAGGGGAGAGAGAAGGACTGCTTTGTGGAGTAGAGGTAGCAGGCAGCGGTGAAAGAAGAGACCAAATAGCAGAAGAACTGGAGAGCGTAGGGCTTTCCGTTGACGTGGGAGATCTGGTGAGTGATGTAGTTGTAGAAAATGTTCAGAAGGCCTTGGAAAATAATAGTTAGAAAAGATACAAAGTACTTGCAATGATCACACAGACGACGCCATATAATGGTTGGGAGGTCTCGATGAGCTTTAAATCATTCAGTGAACTGTAAATCGATTCTGGGATGTCTTCATGTCAAAAGTAAAAACAAAAGACACTTAATGGCAAACGTGGAAGACCAAAGAGGGAAACCAAGTACCCGCCCAGCGTAATGATCACTCCGATCATGTAAGAGAATCCTACAATCAAGCATGGACCCAAGCATCACGGTTGTTTGAATAACTGTTTGAAAGCAGACCAAAGATAACAAAAACCAGCTTTGGACTCTGCTCGAACAGAACATAGATAAACGGACCGCAAGAGGACAAAGCACTGATCCAGAGATAGACTTGGACCGCCTTAATTGCTCCGCATAGCAGTATCGATTTCCAGTAATAGAACACAGAATGTTCACTGTATCGATTGTCAGTGAAAGATAACACTAGAAATGGCTCCTCCAACAAAAACAATACACAGAAATTGGATACACGACGCAATACAGAGAAAAAGACATTCCAGTTCCACTGTAAAACGACCCGTGTTGACCATCCTCATCAAGTAAAACATCGACCACGTCCGCAGAGCGAACAAGATAAATGCTACAAAGAGATGGACAAAACGACTAGGAATCAGAATCACGCAGCAATTCTACGTTTCCTTTGATTTATATTTTTCTTTCTCGTTATAAAGCATCCCCGATAAAGAAAACCGTTTCGAAAACTCTTTTTTGTCTTAATGTATTTGTCCAGTATTCGATATTAGTAGTTGCCTTTTGGATATTACTGATATTCACGTTATCTTGATTTTTGGGCATATGTCGTGCCCTTACGGTGAAAGGGAGATAACTACACTGTACTTGGTCGAGTATCGAACACAGAAAGCATCCAATAGGATAGCCGATATATTCCATAACAAGGATCGCATCTCAAAAGCACTCTCCACTCAAATTCAAAGAGTACCCATCAAAAACGAATTATTTAATTCAAGAAACAACGAACCAAACCATACAGAATCAAACCAATCCCCCTTCAACCTGACTTTCGATAGTACACTCATTTGTCCCCAAGCGAATTCGGAATAATCCATTCTCACCCCATTCGGAATTCCAACTGTTTACAGCCTTCCAGTAGGCCTCTCCATTTTCCTCTCCCCAACCAATGATCTTCACAGTGTGCAAATTCATGAACTTACCCTCCACATGATGATAAATTCCGCTCTTGTAAGTCATGAAATCTTCATACACTTGGAATGAAGCATCCACAGGACCATTCTCCATAATCTCGTTCTTGATCTGGTCTACATTGTTTTCCAACTGATACACGTTGCTGAACTTGTAGCGGTCCTTCTCATACTCAATGGGATACCCTTCCTGACATGTCGTCTCGCACTTAGGAACTACAGGAGGCTTTGTAGAGCACTGAGGATACTGACCTTCAATCCCATGCGAGCACGGAGGAAACGGGTACGACTTGCACCACTCCGTAGAGTTATACTGTCCTCCCGTTACAACTCCGGTACGACGCAAGTACTCCCAAGCCATGGCACTATAGCCACCTTGGCATTGGAAACCGCAGTCCTTACAACATTCCAACACGTCTTCGGCTGAGAGACGCACCTGGTTCTTTCCCTTTGACTCAATGCAGATACGATCGGTCGCGACTTCCACGACACCAAATGCCCAACATGATGCACAAGAGGACTGATCCCGCACTTCCAAGATTGACGGACACTCCGGCCATTTTTCACTGCTATCAAACTCTTTGGGCAACTCTCTTTTAATTGGTATAGAACGAATTGGAAGCGGTTTCTTGTTTTTCAACGTCCCAATAAAGCTGGAATAATCACGCAACGGAGTGTTTTCATTGGCTACCCACGAATTCTGTTGCTTGTTTACCCTCTTTGCGATCTCCACGAGTCTAGGAGGATGCGCAAAAACCAAAATAGTAAAAAGAAGAACGATTACAGATTTCATTTGATAAACACAGTTCTCACTAGGTAGGAATAGAGGTATCTAGGGAAGGAAGACAGGCGGGTTTGGCTCAGTTGGAAGAGCGCGGGTCTCATAATCCCGAGGTCGTGAGTTCGAGCCTCACAACCCGCATTCTTTTTTCTATTTTCTCAATTGAAATGTTTTGGTTGTGATATAAATGATATGCTTTTTGAGAGTCGTTTGTTATTTTTCTTGATACTAAACTCGAAAAAGGTTGAGAATAGGCGCAACTGTAGGAATGTCAAATGATCTGAATGCAACGTATACTGCAGACATGAGTTGTAAGAGATAAGAATGAAAACGTATTTTATACAAGAAATGGCAATGATTCGCCATTATTGTAGTAGTGCTTTTCACTACTACTATTATAATGTTATTTTTGATCGTGATCATAATGATCATAATGGGTTATTTCTATAATAAATCGAAAGATGGATAGATGTGTAATGGATATTGATGATTCCAAACAAGACAAATTATCGGATACAATATCCGACATTTATAAGCAAATCTAGGGATATTGCACTATAGTGTACTAGTTGTATAACACTGAATGTAACACGCTATATTGTTTTGAAGTTCACACTATCTTTTTGGATCTATTTCAAGATTTTTCCAATCAATATTATTAAGAAAGAAGTGGATCCAAAGAATTGGCATGAACTATAGGTTACATGTGAGTAGATTACATATATTCTTCTTCATTATCATCCCATCAATCCCTTTTTCCACTATCAACTCATAATCTTCTTTATTCCCAACAAACACACAATCTTCATTCATGAATACCAGTCTAAATAGCCAAAAGCACACTCCCCATCGAAAATGCCATCGTGGCCACACCAAAGATCATAAACAGAACAAAATTGTATCTCTGCTCTAATTTCTTCACTGGATCGATTTGCCCTTCTGCCTCCTTGCTCTCTTCAGACTCATTCGGCTCATAGTCGAACTTCGCTACATTTCATTGCATCTCTTCCACGCTCCTACTCACTCGATAGGGCAAGATCGCCTCGATATTCTCTGTGGGACGGCAGGAAATACGCATTCCATAGCGGTTCTTCGCGTTATTGCGAACTCAAAGCCCTACGATGAACATGTTGTCCGATGTCGCTTCACCCCTCGCTGCAGAGAAATAATGCTTCATTATCGATTCATAGAACGAAATAAGTGTAGGGAACGATTGTAAATGATTCTGAAGCTCTGAAGGAATCTCCATGATCTGCGCGAGGTGGGCAAAGAGAACAGCGTCCAGCGAACTCGGCCTACAGTAGATATACAGTGATTATAACAAATTACTGCTCTCCAAATAAGAAGCAAGGCTTGTCTTCTGGTATAGAGGAAATGTGCTGATGAAGCTTCTCGACCATGATTTTGTAAAGATTATCCAGAATTTCGAGTTGCTATGTAGAAAGCAAAGAGAAATCAAACATCTTTTCTTTGAAGAGGGAGAATTACGCCTGTTGACGACTTGACTTTATTCCGCTTTTCTCTGTAAAAAGAACTGCAAATGAGAAGCAAAGAAAAGCAATACTGGTTGTAGGGAAAGGACAGAACAGAATCGTACACAGGCTCAACGAGTTTGCTGGCTTCTTTGCTGTCTGACCACTTATACGAACTCTACTGTCCATAGTTATTGGAAAACCTACGAAGATGGAGTTTGCATAGACCCGGATCAAATAGGAGTACAAAGTGATTTCATTTTTTGTTGACTTCGAGAATTTTTCATCCAAATCGCACACCTACCCCTAATTTATCCAACACACCGCTACTTTCTCCTTTAAGTATTGAAATATGTCTTTGTAACCAAGCACAATGTTGTCCACAGTTAACTGAGGAAGCTCGCCTACAGTCGGAAATCCGTGAGAAACTTCAACCAGTAAGCTCAACAGAGGGATACTCTGCATTTGTCTCCTCGAACGGAATCGACGCAAATCGCAAGTACGCCTAGAGGGAGATGAAGTCGCCAGGAAGTACCTGCACTTCCCACGCATACTCGAACTGAAGCAGAGAGACCGAATGACTCATAAGCAAAAAAGAACGTGTGAAACAAACAAATCCGTACTGCAACTGCAAACTATTTTCCTCCTCATATCTTCGGCTTCGCCGATCTCTTCGGAACGGGCGGAGCTTCCGACGCAGAGCTTCTCCGAGGCGGTAGCGCGGGTGCCGAACTTCGTCGATCGCCATCGGCTCGCGGTTTGGGCGGCGGCGGCGGCGGCGGCGTCACGCTCTCTTTGCGATGAGGCTTGGCCGAGGAAGGAGGCGGAGGTGGCGGCGTGGTGCGTCGCTGCAACTGTCTGGGCTGGGAATTCTGCGGCTTGGGCTGCGGCTGCCTGCGCGGCGGCGGAGCCTGGGAAGAAGACGGGAGATCGACGCGGTCTCGCTTTCGGAGGGAGCAAACGACGAAGAGGAGGAGGATGAGGACGATCACGATCACAACGATGACGATGACCGACGAGGCGGAGAAGTTGATGCCGCTGTGCACGAAGCGGACGGACTGCCCGCTCGGCTCCGCCGTGCTGACGGAGTACTTCCACCCGTTGAGCGTTCCGGTGTAGGAGCAGTCCACGAAGCCCTGGAACCCGCCGATCACGCCTTTCACACGGAACGCGCCCGCGTCCAGCTCCTGCTCGTTCGCGTTGGCGTTCCCCTGGATGTTCCCGACGTTCGACGCCAGCACGGGACGCACCGAGAGCACGGTGACCGCCTTGTTGAACCAGAGATAGTCGATCTTGCTGCTCACGGCGCCCGCGGCGATGAGCTGGCGGTAGGTCAGCTTCAAGGTCAGGTCCGCGACACCCGAAAAACGCTTGAGGTCAAAAGAAATCTCCCCGTTATCTGTTTCAAGATAGAGGATCAAACTGCGGGGCGTCTTTCCCGAAAAGTCAATAAACAAATAGTCGCCGAACGTCCAGTCCTGGAACATCACCGGAAGCTTCTCCCATTTCCCCAGGGAGCGCGGCTGGATCATCGTGGGGAAGCTGAACCGACTGCTGGGAATGGCCGCCGAGGACACTTCCACCTGCTCGTCGTCGATGATTCGGATCGCCAGGCGGTTCGACTTCATCTCGCCCACCAGCTGCGAAAACCGGGCCGCGTACACGATCTCCCCGGCCTTCTTCTTCACCACAAATCCCTCGTACAAACCGGGCAGCGCCTTCGAGCTCAGCGGCGCCACGAGGCTCTCGGTCCCCACGTCCACCGCGAGCTTCTCCTCCGTGCCGTACAGATCCATCAGGAACACTTCCTCCCCCTCGCCCACGTTCAGCTGGCGCGCCAGCACCGCGTCGCCCGTGTGGTACAGCTGGTACGCGCTCGCCGGATCGCCCGTCTTCTTCCGGTACAGCTGCGCGTTCAGCCACGCCGTCGCCGTTCCGGGCGACTCCACCTGCGTAATCCGCACGGTGCAGCGCCCGCGCGTCGTGTCACCGAAGAAGTGCGTCCATTCGTTGCGCTGGCGGCCGGGCAGCGACACCACGGACGAGGACGCCGAGCTGATGAAACTGGACGTGTCGAAGCTGAACACGCGCGGATGGCCGCGGTGGGCCGAGGGCTTCATATAGGCCCAGAAGCGGCGCTCGCCCATGACGCTGCACTCCCAGCCAGTGACGTTGCTGTTCATCACACAGCCGAAAATGTTCGGAGAGAAGGCGAAGGAGGGCAGCGGCGCGGGCTGGTTGGGAGGAATGTACTTCACGTTGGGCGCGTAGGAGTACTCCAGCTCCATGTAGGGAATGTTCTCGAGGGGCTGGACAGGATCGTCGAGCAACGCCTCGTCCATCCAGTCCGTCACGCTGTTGATTTTGGTGATGTGGATGCCGATCGTGCCCAGGTCCGCTTCTTTCGGATGCCACCACACGCCTACGGGGATGACCGAGTCTCCCCAGGAGAAGAGACCGTCCACGCCAGCAGAGAGAAGCAGGCTTAGCGCGCTGTCGTAGCCGCTTTTGTCGACGCGGCCTTGAATGAGACGCACGCCTCGATTGGCGGCTCCCTTCTGGTTGCCCTTCTTGTTGCGGTATTCCAGATAGAACGAGCCATAGTTCACGTTCTCGCTGATCGTGGAACACATGTCGGCACGGTTGTAAGGCACTTCCAGAGTCATCATGTTGTCCTTGTACGGAATCCCACTGATCAAGTCTTCGTCCTTGAAGCGGGGCTCCTCGATTCCAAGGAAGGGACGCGAATAGGGATGATCCCACGCGAACAAGCGAACGGTTTTTCGGTCCACATCTTCGGCTGTTCTGTACCAGAAAGGCTCCACTTTCGACACACTGTAGCGGTAGAAAAACTGGCTGGGGCTTACTACCGTGTCCCAGTAGTTGCCTCCACCCATGATGCTGCCTCCGTCTCCGTAGTTGTTCGGATTCAAATAGTCACGCAAGAAATACGTCGGCTTTTCTTCAGGGTAGGAGGCGTGGTTCATTCCCATGGTGTGGCCGAACTCGTGAACCAGCACCGAGAGGTTGTACTCCCACTTCCACATCTCGTCAGGATCGTTGTTAACGTTGCAAATCGCCCAGTAGTTCCCATTGTTCGTAAAACTGGGAATCCATCCCAAACTTGCCAAACCTGCAAAGCCGCCAAAAGCATCGTTGAAAAACATGCGAGTCATCGAAGACTTGTCCAGACGGGGGTCCAAAGGCTTGCATGCGTCCATCACTCTGTTCATAAAGTTGTGGTAATCATCAGGTCCGTAGCACTCCTCTTCAGAGCAAGGGCAGCATACATTTGATATAACAGAATTTTCCATGTCAAACCGAATCCGGTTTCCGGAGATCAAACGTAGATGGCTGTCCATGTACTGGAAATAGCGACGAATGGTTGCTTCTGACACGCAACCCTCTTGGTTATTACGGTGCTGCACACGATATACCGTTACAACCACTTTCTTTCCAAAAAGGGGGCAATCGTTATAGCTAGTCTTCTCGGATCGTAAATTCAGAGCCTTGACATTAACATCCGGGCTCCAAATAAAATTGTAATCAACTAACGTAAGGTTATACATGTTCAAACTAAACTTGGCCTGAGCATATCCATGTTGAATACTGAATGCTTCAGGATTCGTTACCAATAGAATGTTCCCACCTCGGTTGGCATGCCAATGGCCACGAGTCGCTTGATAGAAAAACAGCTCCTCGTCAAAAACTTGGCAATACGCTAAGGCAAGAAGAACAACAATAAAGCAAGGATTCATAAAAAAGATTTTGATGAATGGCTTTGGCACCAACGGTAAAACGGTCCGGAGGTCAGCCAATCATTTTGCGTCATTTCACAAACAATTTTACTGCGTACAAAAGAATACTTCGCGACCAATACCGCCCAATTCCCACTTCAAGACCTCCCTCGTCCCCGTCCTCGTCCCTTTGCACTTCCTTTCGAACCTCCTCCTCGATGTCCGCCACCTCCTCGATGTCCCGCTGCCCGCGATCCCCCCGCGTTCCTTCTCCCCTGATTTCCAGACGATGTGTGTTTAAAGAAAGCGTGTCCCGCCGGCGTTGCCTTCGCCTCTCTCCCTGCATCACGCATCGGCGCGACGTACTCCTCCGGCGGAATCAACCCCAGCGAATCTCCCTCTATCGTCGCCTAGCCTCACACTCCCACGCTCGCTCCTACCACCACGTCCCGTCCGCCCTCGCGGACCAGCCCAAATCGGTACGAAACGCCCTTCATCGACGCGCGAACCCCGTCAAAAAGCGCGGCTTCTTCTTCGCCCAGCAGGAAACTGCGCAGCCGGTTCCCCGCGGGAACCACGAGCGGCGTTTTGTCCATCTGGAGATAGAAATCCAGGTCGGAGGAGAGCGAGAGGTCGATCACTTTCGCGGAGCACACCGAATCGATTTTCACGGACGGTTTGGCCGCCGATGGAACGCTCTTGCTCGACAAAGAGAGACCGGCGTCCCCCAACGTTTGCGTGGCGGGGGTTTCGCGCCGTTCTCGATGCTCGCGACGCTCCACGACGGGGCGTTCGCGTCTGGAGGGATCGGAAACGGGCTTGTCGAGCTGCTTGGAGGAGCCCCACACGCCGAGCTCCTTCACGGAGGCCTGGCTCCGATCGCCCAGGTCTTTCTTGCGACGGTCTTCGATCGCAGTGAGGTCCAGGTCTTCCACTTTCTTCACTGCCGGGATCTGGCCGGCGCTGCCTTTCGTTGTAGAGGCAGAAATCGAAGTTGATTCAGGCTGCGCTTTGCGATGCTTTTGCTTTACGAAGTCTTCGAAAGAGATGAATTTGGGAGGCTTGCCGCTGGCTTTGCAGACCTTGGAGCGAAATCGGTTGCGATAGCTGAGGGACTCTTGGGCCTTCCAAAGAGCCACCATCTCGGAAACCACTCCGCCCAGCACTTGGATTTTGCCTTGGCGCAACAAACAGCGGCCGTTGTAGAATTCGGGATCTGTGAGAAGGATCTTAGTACCAGGGGGTGTGTCCAACCTATGAATCAACTGCAAAAACAAAACATACCGCAGACTGTTGATCGGTTCATATTCGATAGCATAGAACGATGACACTCCGTCTGTTAACTTCAAGCGGAGCATACGGGGGCACATATTACTCGTTTGATTGATACTTGGTGCAGTAATATTCGAAATGGCTAGGATCTAGTCACAACAGTCGAATTGAAAGCGAAACCTGAAAAATATACTTTCCTGTCTTAACCTCCGTCGCAGCATTCAACGCAGAAGGTATAATTTGCTCTCCATACTCTCTCATATCGGTATTTAGCAAAAAATCGACTGGATTGGACTGCGCCTCCTGCTGCGATAAAAGCTCGATACCCTGTTGTCTATTCTAACACCCCTTCATTGCAAGTACGATAATCGAAATCCAAATTGATTAACAGACGCTAGAGCCGCCATTTCTTTTGGAACAATACTTGGACAGTAAGTGGAGTCATACTAATACTTGTTCTTGGACTTCGACACCAGACAACTTGTCCGAGTGGTTAAGGAGACAGACTCGAAATCTGTTGGGCTTTGCCCGCGCAAGTTCGAATCCTGCAGTTGTCGTATTTTTCCTCCTTTTCCCCTTTCCACTCTGAAGTGAGAGTCATATACCTAGTTTGAACTCGTCTTACAAGCCCGTCTAGCTCAGTCGGTAGAGCGCCAGGCTCTTAACCTGGTGGTCGGGGGTTCGAGCCCCCCGGTGGGCGCTTCTCTTTTCCTTTTCTTTTTTTACATATATATATGTACATTCTGATCATCAATCAATCATAACCACTTTCTCAACCAATACAGACAGACCTCTCGTACATTGCATTACATGTTTGAAACAAATAACGAGTATTCCTACAAGTCCTCAGGGGGAGGAATAAAATTAACAGGTTCTTTCCAACGGAACATGGTATCCAACAGAATTTTATTCTTCTCCTTGTACTTCTGCGTCACGTTAATAATACCCCACTCATCAATCGTGTAGGTAGTAAGGAAGGTCACGTTCGTCCTCTCGGTCTTATCATATCCCGAAAGTTGATATTCCTCGATCAAATCGCACTCACTCTGCGGCTCGATATCCCTCACCTTCTCCGCATTTCCCTGATAGATCGCACAGCACACATAGGTCGTGTAGTCCTCCGAAGGCTGCGTCTCCAGCGCCTGGCTCGTGAACTTGATCTGTGTTTGCCGAGGAATCAAGCACTGAATGCGCCCGCCCTTCAGTCGCTGGCCCAAACTATACACGATGCGATCCTTCAGCTGCAGAGGCTCCACGAGACTTTGGCAGGCTCCGCACGCGACTGCTTCGTCCGGATTCACGGCGCCGCTGAGCTTCGTCTCGCCAAACAGCTCCTCCAATCGCTGCTCGACGATCTTGAGCCGACTGGACCCGCCGATCCGCACGACGCGGTCGATGTCGTCGACGGCCAGGCCGCAGTCCGCAATGCACGCCTGCACGATCTCGATCGAGCGGTCGATCAGCGACTGAATGCACGCCTCCAGCTCCTGGCGTGTGATTTGCAGACCGCCGTCGTTGTCGTCGTTGTCTTCGTCTTCCGAGTTCACTCCGAAGGCGCTCAGATCGGGATTGTACGAGTTCGTATCCGAGAGATGGGTTTTTGTTTCTTCGGCGATCGCGTTCAGGCGCAAATAGAAGCGACGCCGCACTTTCTCTTTATCGGAGTTGATCAACGGAGTGTCCGATTTGTTTTTGTATTTTCTTTCGATGTATTTCGCAAAGAGAGCATCAAAGTCGGCACCGCCCAAAAAGGGGTCACCAGCATACTTCAGGACTGTATAATCTCCATTCTCCACGCGGATGATGGAAACATCGAATGTACCGCCTCCCAAATCGTAGACGAGAATCGTTTGATTGTCGATATCGTTGATCTTGCAGTAATGGAAAGCAGCTGCAGATGGCTCATTCAACATCTTTAGATCCTCTCTGGGAATTCCCGCCTTCTCTACCGCTAACAGAGTAGCAGTGCGTTGGTTGTTGTTAAAATTGGCAGGGAACGTGACTGCAACTTTCACACACTTCATATCCTCACCATAGCGATTCCAAATATTCTCCTTGGCTACCTCCATGATGCGCTTGACAACAAAGGCAGCTACATCGCTCGGAGAAACAGATGTGTTATCGTTGATATAAAATATAGGTTTATTATCCACTTCTCTGATTTCCACTCCACATTGATTCTCTTCTATACAACGTTGAACGATTTCGTCGTTGAAGTATCTTCCCAGAATTCTCTTTGAATTCTTGATAATCCCAGCAGTACCCAGGGTAAGGCGTCTATACACGGCTTCACCTACATCAACCTCTTTTCCAAACTGGGTGCACGACTTTAGCAAGCGACTCCCGCTTTTTTGTGTCACAATTATGGGATCCGAAGAAAGATAGGTTATCACTGCTGCGCAAGTATTTGTAGTTCCCAGATCTATTCCAATAACATATTCACCCTTTTGTAAACGAATCATATCTTAACTAGAAAGAATAAAAATGATTCTTTACTGAATTCGCTTTCTGTTCGACTGACTCGTCTGTTATTTTCTCTTGTTCTCTACAAAATGTGTATTGACTACAAGTAGGAAATAGAATTGTCCATCTAGACCATGTTTGTTAATCCTCACCCTTAACTGTGTTCACTTTTTTCAGTCAATAAATGAACAGTATGAGTCTACGATCGATTCTAGAAACATTGCGTTTTGTGGTAGACTAAAAAGGGTTTGATGGTGATGCTGGCCATATTTGAATTTTTGAGGGAGTAAACTACGATAATATTAATAGTTACAGGGTCAATCTCGACTTTCATTGAAATGCTCATTACTGTGAACGTTCCGTTTTTATTTGTTCAATGAGTAAGAAAACTGGGTATTTCACTTTTGATGAGGTATCTATCGATGTAAGATGCATCTTCACCACGCTTCCATTCTAGGATGAATCCCTCATGGAAGAATCAGAGATCTTTGATTCCCAGTCGACGAAACCTATAGAACTGATCCAACAACCTCCCTTCTTTCGGACTAGGGATTTTTCGACGCCGCTTTATCCTTCCAATTGCTACGCTGTTCCAAAGCAGTCGTGCATGGTCGACGATCCAGTAGTGGAAGTATTTGATGAGATTGCAAACCGTTTTATTATTCCCAAAAGATCGGAAAAATTGATAAAGTTCGTGGGAGTCGATGCCGTTTCCTACGAAGATGCGGAACCTGCTACCCATCTTCAACCCTTGCCAAGAGAAGTGAGCGATTGTATTGAATCAAACAATAGGTTTGCGATCAAATTTTTACAAAGATTAAACGAGAGTCGATCGTGATCATCGAAGATGAGGAGACTCTTCGGAACGACCATTTACTTAGCGCAATCGACAATATGGTACATTTTTCCACATCTTTCCTCACTCCAGGACGACGACGACGATCAGCTGATTCCCATCAGCAAGCTCCGTTCCTATCTCCACAATCGCTCTTCCTCTCTCTCTTCTCATCGCTTCCCGCTCTTTGAGGACGTTTCCTTATCCACCTCCTCCGAGACGGACTCGACGGACGTGCTTCCCTGCGCTCCCACGCTGCCTCGAATCACAAATCTGACGCAGTCGTCGCGAACGCCGCACGTGTTCACGTTCGATGTGGTCTCCGACTCGGATCTGTCGAGCCCTGGGGACACAGGGACGGAGATGGACGAGTCGGACGAGTCGGACGCGAGCCAGGACATGAATGAATCAAACAAACGAAAGTCGATCCATCCACTCGACGAGATGAATGAGATGAATCAAATGAATGAGATGAATCAAACCAAACAAATGAATTCGATGAATGAATTGAATGAATTGAATGAATTGAGTCAAACGGACCAAACGAACGCAATGAATTCGATGAATGAATTGAATCAAATCAACGAATTGAATCCATTGAGTCCATTGAGTGAATTGAACCAAACGAACCAAACGAACGCAATGAATTCGATCAACGAACTGAATCCAATGAGTCCATTGAACGAACTGAATCCAATGAGTCCATTGAACGAACTGAATCCAATGAATCCATTAAATGAATTGAACGAATTGAATCCATTGCGTCCACTCACTCGCTCCTACTCCATGAGCGAATCCAGTCCTCGCCTTCCTCCTCCCTCCCTCACCGATCTGATCGACCTCCCTTTTCCCCGCTCGCTCCATTCCCCCGCCTCCCCCGCCTCCTCGACTCCCGAGATCGCCGCGGAGCCGCTTCGCTTCGCCTGTCCCTCGCGCCTGTCGCTCGTCGAGCTGGTCGCTTCTCGGCCTTTTTTTCACTCCCAGGAACTTCTCTCCTCGCGTCGCAGCCAGGGTTTTGAGCCCTCCCAGGTTCCACCTTTCCACGTTTCTCACACCCAGTTGCGATCCCCGCGACTTTCCGTCGGATCCCCGCGACTGCGAGCCTCCACACCGCGGTTATTCACCGGACCGATGGGCGCCGCGACGGTTCGGAGCGACGGCGTTTCGTTTTTCCACTCCGTCGACTCGCCTCCCCCGCGGGACGCGGACGTCCAACCGACTCCCGCGGGAATGGCGTCGTCGCGTCGGCTGGCGCGGCTTCGAGAGCGCGGGAAGGCAATCCGGGAGTTCGGGTACCGCGCGAACGAAGTAAAAATTGGCGGGAAATGGAAAGTAGGCGCTGTGCAGGTTCCAAACGCAGCTGCAGAGCCTGATGAACAGCGAGGAGCACGTGATGACGCTCTTTGTAGATAGAACGGGACGGAAGTAGTGTGTAGGGACTCATTCAGCAGCGGTATGCGTCGAACAGCGAGATTGACAATCTGCAGTACGATGTGCGGCGATCGATCACAGAGCTCGCAAGGCAGGAGGGGAATTACACGATTGATGTTTGGAAGCGGTGCGGAGTCGATTGCAGGTCTTTGGATACGTGGAGACGGAATTGCGACTGCAGGAAAGCATCCGCGTCCAAGTCGATCATTTATCGGTAGAATCGAACGGAGAAATCGAGTGTAGCAAGAACTGACGTCGTACGGATGGATTATCGAACAACTCGAAGCGGACGACATTCATTTAGCCTATCCCTGTTTGAACGAATGCTTAATTCATTTTCGGATCTGGACGAAGAATTTTATCTGCGTCTATTCGAGTTTGAAGATCCAGTCGAATCAGTTCCCGCCATTTTTGGAATTCGTGGAGAGGTCTGGTTTGAGGGACGCCATTCGCCGCGATTTTATGTTTCATGAACTGTATGATTATTTTCATTTTGTTTGTATGCGGGGAGAGAGTGAGGTGTAGATTTCTTTTTTGTGTAATCGAATCGCTCTTGCCTGTAGAAGCTACCTAAAGAAAGAGATTTCCTCTACAATGTCTGTATAAATTTCTATTTTAGATCCTTTTGACACTTGTTTGTTCAAATTTGATTCCCGCGGATATCGCCCACTTTTTGCTAGACGATCAGTTCTTTTCTATTCCGAGGGCGTTTCGATAAATAAATGGAAATCGAAGAGAACAAGCATATAGAGTAGCTGTTTGACACAAAGTAATCATATTTTATAGGATTACGGAACTGACGGAGGATAGACTCAAATTCACATTATCAGGAGTTGACACCAGCATTGCAAATGGCCTTCGACGTATTATGATTGCAGAAGCACGAGTTTTTCGCTTATTTCACAACTAGGTCCCTTCTGTTGCGATCCGTACCGTCACTATCAAGGAAAATACATCTGTTCTGGCTGATGATTATATTGCACATCGTCTTGGTTTGATTCCAATTCGTCATCTGGGCGACGATTCCTCCACCGAAATCGTCGACTATTTCGAAGTTTCTGCTCCTGGCAATCGCTCTTCCGTGCGTCTCGAGCTGAACGAAACCTGTCTCCCTTCATCCCCTGTTTTCACTCGCAGGCACAGGCGACAGACCTCTCAACGTCACCAGCAAACACCTCAAATCCCTTAATCCCTATTATGCGCCAGCACACGCGACGAGCCAGGCAGAGGCTCTAGCACAAAACAACGAGGGCATTCGAATCGTTTCATTGGCTCCCGGTCAGACGCTTCACGTCGAATGCGAAGCCATTCTGGTAGAACCGAGGCGAGTCGAAGCTGACCGATAGGGAGTGGGGAAGGAGCACGCGAAATGGAGCCCCGTCGGGACCGTTTCGATGAAATATGTCCCGATTGTGCATCTGAATCGCGGTTTGATTGGCTGAACGAGTTGATTCGCAGACCTGTTAGACAGCAAAGACTTCGAGTTCAAGCAGAAACTGGTGGATTCGTGTCCGCGGAAGGTGTTCTCGATCAACCCGGACACCAACCGCGTGACGATCGTGAACGAGTCGGCCTGCATGTTCTGCGGCGATTGCGAGGCGTTCAACACGAGCTACGCCGACAAAATCGTCACGATCTCGCAGCAGCCGAACGTGTTTAAGTTCGTGGTGGAGGGAACGGGCGCGCTGCCGCCGCTGGAGATTCTAAAGAAAGCGCTGGAAGTGTTGGAAGTGGGGGCCGAAGCGCGAGGTGAGGTGTAGATGAAGTTGAATCGGATCAAGCATGGACTGCAGGAGATCATGCTGTCTACGGTGTGGCTTGTTTGTTGCAACCAACACGTCAATTGGTAGAATGGGTGGAGTTGATCAGCTCGAACCACTGCGTGAGCGCGTCGCAGAGAATCTCGGGCAGGCTTTGCACCGACTGCACCACCAAATAGTACGGGAACGGATAGTTTTCGAGATAGTTCGCGAACAAGTGTCCCTTCTTGCCCGTGTAAATCTTCGTCTTCAAAATCGAATCCTCCGCTTTCGCTACGTTTCACCCTTTTTTCCATCCACCTACGCGTGTCGTCGATGATCAGCAGCACCACTAAAATATTGTTCTCCTCCGCATCGCGCAGCAGCCGCGCAATGCGCTCCCTTCCCTCCTGAATTCGCCCGTCACTCACCAAAAACGCGATCTGCACCGCGCGCTTCGCCGCACCGCTCAACCGAAGCCGGCTCTGCGCCATAATCGCGATCAACGCGCGCAGACACGCCTCAAAACTCGTGGTTTTCTGTGCGAACGAAAAGTGCGCCAGCGCAGAGGCGCCCGACTGCGCGGTGAACGGCGTGCCGAGCGGATGGATGTACTGCACGTTGTCTCCGAAGGACATCACGCCGATCTGACCGACTTCCAGCTGCGACAGCGCGTTGCCGATCAGCGCCAGCGTCTTGAAACTCACTTCGCCGGCGTTGTTCACCTTCATACTCTCCGAATTGTCGATCACCAGCATGATTTGGTACTCGCGCTGGCTCGGCTTGCTCCGACGCAGCCAGATTTTGTCTTTTCGATAGTTCGACGCGATGAACGGAATCACTTTCCGCATGTTGATCCGCTTCCCCGTCTTGAAATCGCCGGTCAGTTTGCTCGCCTTTGTCGGCTCCATCAGCAGGCGCAGCTGCTCGCTGAGACGATTCGACAGGTCGGTCGTCGACGCCACGCACTCCTTCCAAATGCCGATCGATCGCGAGAGAACCGTCGGATCCTGCACGGCGCTCACCAGCAGCTCGTTCACGTTCATGTTGAGATAACTGTCCTCTTCGACGAAGGGGAGCTTTACCTCTTCTTCTTCGGCTTCTCGAAGCTCCAAGTCTTGCTTGGTGAAGATTCCGCGCGGCTCCGACGCGTCGACACTTTTCCCAGCGCCTTCTTTGGTGACTTTATCCAGTAAATCGCTCGCAAACGCGGCGGCTTCTTCGCGCTGCTTTCGCTCCTCCGCTTCCTTGAGCGCTTCTTCGTCTTCGGGGAATTCCGGCGCGTTTTCGCCCATCGCATCGTTCATTTCTTTCTCGTACTGCAGCCCCTCGTCCGGCTCTTTCTCCTCTTCTTCCTCGCCGTTCTCCTCTTCTTCGACTTCCATTTCAATGCGATTGGACTCTTCCGTCAGCGGCTTGAAGTCCACGTCTTGCAAACTGGGCGCCAAAACGTCCTGCCCGCTTTGCTCTTGCTTCACTTCCGCTCCCAGATTCTTCTTTTCTTGCTCTTGTTCTTCTTGTTGCTGCTGATTGTTCGGATCGTTCTGCTGAAGGCCTTCTTCGTTCTCGTCTTCTTTTTCCTTCTGCGGAATCATCTGAAGACGCTGATATTCCTCCTCCCACTTCTTTTGCGTTTTCTCTGGATTCTTGTACGGATTGACTTCATTCTCGTCGTCTTCTTCTTCTTTCTTCTCTTCTTCTTCTTCTTCTTCTTTTGTGTTTCCAACTCCTTCTTTCAATTCTCCATTTCGCTGCGTTTCTTTCTTTTCTTCTTCATCTTCTTCCTCCATTTCTTCCTTCTTTTCTTCTTCTTCTTGTCCGCTTTTTTTCTGCGATTCTTCGCCAAGAACATTATCTTGACCCGCTTCATCGGCAATTCCCTCCGTAGCCATCGAATTCGGTTTCTTCTCTGGCGTTTCTTCCTTCTCGGCTGCTTCTTCAGGCTGATTGTCGTCGATTTCCGGATTTTCATTTTCCCCATTCTGAGCTTCTTCTTCATTCTCGTTTTCTTCTTCTTCTTCTTCTTCTTCTTCTTCTTCTCCGATTCCTTGCATATCAATGCTTTCTGCTTCTTCATTGATTTCTTCTTCCTCCTCTTCTTGGTTTTCATTCGCTTCTGCATCTTCTTCTTCTTCTGGAGGAATCTCGTTTTCCATTTCGTCCGGATTGGGATTTTCGTCCTCTCCGCTGTCTTCAATTTCCATGTCATCCGGAAGCATATCTTCTTCTTCTTCTTCTTCTTCTTCCTTTGGATTCATGTGATGATCGTCTTCGTATTCCTGTTCATTCAAATCATTGATATCATCATTTTCTTCCATTTCTTCCATTTCTTCTTCTTGAGTATTCTCCTTTTTCTCTTGATCTTTTTCATTTTCATTATCATTGTCTTTCTTTTCATTTTCATCCTCATCTTCTTTCGTCATCATTTCATCCGTGTTTTTCTCGTTCTGCTGCTTTGCATCCTGCTCAATCTTCTCGTCTTCATTCGGTTCTTCTTCCTCTTCGCTCTCATTCCACAGCTTTTCATCCAATACTTCCTGATCCTCATCATCCAATTCTCCCATTTCGCGATCCCGCTCATCCTCTTCTTCTTCCTCTTCCTCGTCTTCCTCTCCCTCGTCTTCTTCTTTCTTCACATCCTCCATATTTCCATCGAAATCATCCTCGACATCCATTCCCGTATTCTCCGCTTCTTTGTCTTTGTCTTCTCCCTCTTCTTCCTTCTCTTCGCGCTTCTCGTTCTTCAATCCATCCAACTGTTCCTTGCTGTCCAGCTGGTCCGTTACATCTTTCTCGCCTTCACCTTCTCCCATTCCCGTTCCTTCCGCTTCTCCTTCCTCTCCTTCTTCTTGCTGCTTCTTTTCCTCCTTTTGCTTGGGCGGCAGGCAGAATCCTTTCTTCAAAATCTCCTTAAACAATTTCAAGAGCACGTATTCCAGCTTTCCCATCGCTTTGTTCAACAACACGCCGCGCAGCAAAACGTCGAACACGCTTACCAGCAGTTGCTGCATCATCGGAACAATATCTTTCAACAAAAACATTCCAGACACCAGCGAAGCAGGCGAACTGCCAATCACTCGCCGAATCAACTCATTGAACTCGGATTCGATCGCGCCCAAGCTCAGAATCGACCAGCTATGCAGAAGAGCTTCGTGCATTCCCTGATAGCCGATTGGCTCCTCCCCATTCTGATTCTTATCGCACAGCTTCTTCAATCCCTGCACAACACGCAGCAATCGCGCCACCAATCCATTCCGACTCGTCAGAATCGGCTCCATCTCAGCGCTCACTCCACTCTCTAAAGACGCTCGAGGCACCACAATCGCGTTCTGCTCGATCATCGCCACTCCGTTCTTCGCTCGCTGCAGCGTCGCTTCCCAATGCTGCGCCGCCGAATACAGTTTATCGATCGAGATCACGTCGGTCATCGCCCCAATCGCTTCGCGCAGTCGCTGGATGTTTTCTCCGAGGACTTGGAACGCGTGGAGATACAGCGACGAGTTCGTAATGCAATAGAGCTGATAGCCGAGCGAGGAATCGCGGACGGTCAGCTTCTCCAGCTCCAACTGCAAACTCTTCCGGGTCTCTGAGCAGATTTCCACAAACGAGTCGGGGAGTTTCACATCGGATCCGATCTGCTGAGCAAAGAAAAGAAGCTCGTCCAGAATCTCGATATTGCTCGAATACAGCGTTTCCAACTCTCCCGCCACATCAGAAACCGCGGGACACACCACAATCGCGTCTTCGTTGAGATTTTGGAAGTTGTTTCCGAGACAACGAACGTGTTTCAAGGTGCCAAACAGACTCACAAGCTTCGAGCTGAGCGACAGCAACACCTCGCGCTCCTGGATCAGATTCAGCATCAGATTCTCCGTATATCCGATGCATCGACGCACTTCCGCGGGAGTGACTTGATCGGTCACTTCGCGACTGACTTGCATTCGCAGCGAGGTCAGCAGCAAGTAATCTTTGTAGTAGTACTGATCGCCTTTCGACCAGGAACTCGCAAACAACGCCAAGTTCTGCTGCAGGGCGCCGCTCAATGGAACGAGTTCTTTCAGAATCGATGGAATCGGCCGCATTTCCGGAATGCTGAGACGCATTACGGCGTCGTATTGCTGCTGGTATACGGGAACCGTGGCTCGCAATGCGGAGAATCCGTTTTCCTTGAGATGGGAGAGCAAGTGACTGAACTCTTTGTGCTTCCGAATGACGAATTTGGTTTCGTGGCGAAGCTCCATCGCTGTAGTGATGATCGTAACGGCCAATTCATCCAACGATTGCCCAGGAACCTGCTCGCCCAAGATATACTCCATGGAGGAGGAGTTTAGAATCTGCGCGAAGCGATGACTCACAACGGGCATTTTTTCCAGGGAAGACAACTCTTCTAAATGCAGCGATTGCTCCAGTTGCGAGAGAGAGGCGGTGAGCGATTCAAACTTGGAAGGATCGACGTCCCAATTCAAATCCTTCGAGGCCAGTCGCTTCACAGCAATCGGCTCTTTTTCTGCTTCTTCTTTCTGCTGCTTCTTTGCTGATTTATCGTTCAGCGAAGGCTCGTCTCGATCGCGACTCTCCAATTCGCCTTCTAAGAACCGATCCAATACCACGGACACTTTGATGTTATTGCTGTCTCGATACGAATAAATCAGCTTGAACAACTGTCGATGAATTCGACCCACCGTTTCGTGCAGCGAGAAATAGCTCTGATCGTCCCACTTTCCAAGCTTCACTTGATCCTTCAACTGCTTCTCGATCGGGGTTTTGATCTGCGTTATCTCCTCTTTCACCGCAGGCAAGAACACGGAATACAAACGCGTTGTGTGATACAGAATGTTCATGTTCGTCTCCAGCATCGAGTTCTCCAACTGCGTCTGCGAGAGCTGCAATCGCATAAAGCGAGAGAGCAGCGACAGCAAATGCAGACGAGACGAAAACTCCAACAGCTGGCTTCCTCGCAGATAGCTATCCAGAATGTCGATCAAACTATGCGTATATTCGCACACTTCCTTCGATAAGATTTGCCCCGATTTCACCGCTACTCGCTCCTCGGAGTCGTTTTCGTCCTGCTTGATTCCGCTCAGCGATCGAATCCGGCAGTTGGAAGCCATCAACGGCCACAAATCCTGCGGCCGAATTCCGATCTCCGCGCAAATCCGATGGAACTCATTGACTACTTCCATGGAATCCGAGCGAACGATCGAGTCATTCAATCGATTCTGCGGAAGAAGCATCGAATAGAGCTGGCAGAAATACTCTCGGCTCTTCAACGAGGCCTTCTCCTCTTCTTCATCCAAGAACGAACCCCACGATTCCAACTCCAGCTTTCTCCATCGAATAATCAACCCGCTCAGCTGCTTCACGTGCTCTGCGAGCGAAACCATGCTGGCAGCGCTCACTTCCCAGTCATGAACGCGACGCGACAATACTTCGACGCCAGAAAGCAGAACGGTGAGTGGCGTTACGATGGGAAGGGCGAAGAGTTGGTCGATCAATCGAAGGATGTACTGCAGCACGACGTGCGTGGGATACAATTTCAAGAGTTCGAAGACGCGTCGTTTCAAGGGAAGCAGGATATTGACGCAGTATTCGGCTTCGGAAATGTTGGAGTGATTGTGGAACGAATAGGCGCGCGCAGGATGGAGAAGATTCGAAAGATCGCGGCCTCGCGTCACGTCCTTTCCGAGCTTTAATTCAAGTAACGTCAGAAGGGACGAGGCTTTTTCATAATCCGTGAGAACCAGAGAGCGAATCTCCTTCTCAAAACTGAGCAGAATGCGGCTATTCAAAAAGAGAATCTGCTCTCGCACCGGATATGCCAATTCTTCGCGACTGTTCGCAGCACTCACCAGATATTCCACGATTTCGCACACATACCCCACATCATCCAAATTGATCTTCCAGTCCGAAGAGAAAATACCGCCATTCTCTTCGATTTCCTTCGATTCCCCAGTTCCACGAATTCCACGATTCAGCTCCTGCAATTCCGCCTCCACATCCACGGATTGCGCTGCGGCCTTGGCCTGCGCCTCCTCATCGAACAACAGCTGATAGTCAGGGAATTGTTGGCGGAACGCAGCCTCCACGATCTCTTCATTGCCTTTAATGTTGTCGATGTTCAGATTGCGAACGCGGAACTCGACGGCCTTCTCCGCCTTCGCTCGCTCCTCCGCCTCCTTCTCTTTCTGCTCGTTGTACAAGTCGGTGAAGTGGCTGATGAACTCCACAATCGCGCTGTCCGTCGTCGTTCGTTTCAAGACCGTCATGTTGTAAAGGAGAAGTTGCGTGAGGAGAGACCGGAAAATCACGCTTTTGTTCTGCGTTTCGCGGAGCAATTCGTTGTTCATCACACTCACCAATTCATCCCCGATCTTCTGGTACTCCACTGAAACGATGCGCAGCGGGAACTGCGCGAAGTGCGACAAAAACAGATAGGAAAGGCTCTGATTGCCAAGAGAAAGGTTGGATTGCTCGGGAACGGCTTTCGCCAGCGTGGCTAGCAGACGCATTCCATGCTGAATCTGCGTCACCGAGCAAACAATCGGTTCGACAATATCACGATATCCCAAATAACTGCGAAGCAAGGACTGCTTGAAGCTGAGATTATTGCTATGGAACGTCTGTTCCTCCTTCAGCAATGTCGCAATGTCGGAAGTCGACGTCGCGGTCGAATCGCCTCGAACGGTAAACGGACTTTCCATCAATCGATCCATGCTGTTCTGAATCAGATCCCACACACCACGCAGCGTCGATCCATCGCTCGTCTTCACTACCTCGCGCTGTATGCACGATTCTAAATGGCCGAGAAGGCTCTCCGTCAAGTGACGCACGCGCGAAATGGAAAGAATGCTGGCTCCGAACGAGTAGAGAGTGCTGTAGAGCTGATCGAAGGAATTGGAGCACACTCGCTTGAACTCTCCTTGCTGCAACCGATCCAGCGTGATTTGGTTTCTCTTCAGAAGAGAGACGAAGAGCGATTCCTGCTCTGCCGCGATGTTGGGACCCGAAGAAGCGATCGATCCGTGCAGCTGGAGAGACTGGAACTGGAGAATAAACGCCAGATCGGCGAGATTTGCCGACATGAACCGAACGATGTCTCCCTCAATGAAGTCCTTCAGTAATGGGTCCACGATCGAACTCGGTAGAAGCAGATTGAACAGCAAAAGGCCCAGCAAGATCCAGCACACACTCACAACGATCGTGTTGACAAACGGATTGCCGCTACAGAGCGACAGCAATCGCAACACATTCGGAATCACAGCCAAACACAGCGATTCATACCGCATCGATGAAACGTCTGTTGCTTGCTCCAATTGGCCTTTCAAGATCTGCTCCACTTCCTCCGCGCTGTAGTCTCGCTCCGCATCCAACAGCAAGCGCACCAATCTCGACAGAATCGTCTGCTCCTGCTGCAACTCGTCGGTTTTCCCAAGCTTCGGAAGCTCTTCGAAAAAGGCAGACAGAAGCTTTTCGAACACGCCCAGCTGCTCGATCCGATCGCGACTGTTCTTCACAGAGAAGCCTCTCACGTTCCACAACGGAGCGATCGCTCCACTCACATTCACCGCGGTGTACGGCGTCAGCATCAATCCAGAACCCACGAACTGCTCTCTCAAGGCCTCCACATCCAGCGAATCGCTGCGCTCCTGCATCATGGAATACCCGATCGTGCAGTCATTCCAATAATTCTCCAAGTAGTACCGCAGATAGCTCAGCTGATACGCAGGCAGCTGCTTTCGCAACTCCTCATGCGATTCGCTGCGCGTCGAAATCCAGCTGACCTGGCGCAACGCCAGCAATTGTTCCGGAGACACCACGAAATTCGCGAGCTCCTCTTCATAGCGTTTCTCAAGCTGCGAATGCGTGAATTCGCCGAGCAGAAGCGAGAGCGTCGAAGCTTGATGCTTGAACGACTCATTCAGCAACACAACGTTATGGAATAGAGTTCCATACAGATCGAACGCGCTCTTCTGCGTGAACACGACGGACGTAGAGGCGTCTTCCATCTCCACGGACCCATTGAACGACGTGTCCACAACATTCACAGTGTTCTGCAGACGCTCCAGACTGTTCCGCAAGCTCTTTTCGATCACTTCTTTGATCTGCGCGAGCGTCACCACGCCTTCGCCCGATTGCTGCGTATGCGACATCCACAGCAACGTGGCCATCGCATCGACCAGAGAGCGCCGCTCATCGGGAGTCAGCAACACGATGGATTGATGCAACGACGCGTGGAGCGATTGAGGCAATAGCGCTTCTTGATAGACGAAATGGTTCGAGGCACATTCTCCAAGAATTTCCAAGAAGCTCGCGAAGGCTTCCGACGAAAACTCCATTAAAGGACGGCCCACGAGGTTCCACAGTTTGTTATCCATCGCGATATTGCTGCAAATGTGAAGGTCCGAGAGAATGTTCTGAACCGATGCATGGAACGCGGATTCTGTTTGGGAGGAAAGGAAGGAATGCGTGTGAGCGACGAGAGAAGAGAAGATTTGAAGGAAGGCGACTAATTGCATGTTGAATGTTTGTGAGACTTGATCGTATCGCGTAGAGTGGAGCAAGTGAAGATATGCAGCGAGATACTGAATGTAATACACCAACTCATCGCAAGAGATCGTTGATTGGATCAGCGCCATCGCGATTTGGGTCAGCGGAGAGAACAGCAATCCGCTCGCAACCACCGACGCGTTGGGAATCTGCGACATGTCCAGAATCTGCTTGCTCACCAATAGCGAGATCTCCAACACCGACTTCTCGCCCAGCACTTGCAGACTCAACGCCTGGCCTCTCGATACCTCCACTGCGTTCTTCGTCAAGTGCGAGAGAAGCGTGATTAGAGGGACCAAATAGATATACCGATTCATTCGACTGATCGCCGTATCCAACTCTGCAAGAACCGATCGGTACTCTTCAGACCGAGCGAGCAATCCCTGGTTGATCACTCGCTTTCGCAGACGAACGAGCAGAGGATCCTGCAATGAGATAAAGAGGGGGAGATGATCCATGAGTTCGGTCGCCGTGCAAAGCATCGACTCATCGAAATTGTTGCTGAAGAGCGGAATGTGGGCCACAGGGAGAGAAGTCGGAGTTTGCTCGACGAAGGAACGCACTGTGCTTTGCGCTGCTTTGAATTGCTGATAGAAGGGACTCGATCGCACGATGTACAGCGCCTCCTTCACCATGCTCAAGATCTTCCCTGCCGTTTCAGCAGTCGCAGCATCGCAAACCGCAGGCGACAAAAAGACTTCGATCTGATTCAAGTTCGGCTGGCTCCGCATAAACACCAAATAGACGCACACCACGTTCAGAATCAGCGAGGTTTCCTGCGGCGCTCGCTTCAGGAAGAATTGAAGCGGCTTTAAAAGCTGCCTCTGCTCGTCTTCCAGCCCTTCCTCTATCAACTGCATCCATTCATTGAGGGTCTCCGAAGATAACTGCGAATGCGCTTCCAACCGAATCAAAATGTGCAGCAAGAAGGCTTCGCGAATCATCTGCAAGTCGCTCGCTTCATTGCACAGATTCGCCAGCGAAGTCTTCCAATCATCCAAAAAGAATCGGCTTTCGATTCCATGCTTTGCACAGAACGACCCAATGCGATGATAATTCGCGATCCGCTTCTCGAATTCCTCTGATCCCAAATACTCCTTCACCGAAGCAAGCGGGAATGTGTTCGTCGCTGCGACCTCCAGGCTTTCCCGCGGAGTTTTCCCGCGCTCCAACTGCTCGATCGCCAGCGTGGCAAACCGCGAAAGATAGCGCGCATTCAGTTTGACCATGCTCAACGCCACGACGCGAACAAGATCCGCATACACCGGTAAGAGAAGCACCACGACCAAGAGAAGATCGTTCACTTTCTTGCTGTTGACGAGGTCGAAAGCGTCCCAAAGCGCTGGGATGTTCTGCACAGAAAGCGTTGATGGGGTGGAGAAATACAATTCCACGCATCGATTGCGCATGGCGCGCGAGATCTCGCCGAAGGAAGGATTCATCACGAAGAAGATGCGGAAATTGTTGTGCGGGTAGATGATTCGCTCCTTCCCATCCACCAATCCACACTCGTTTATCAGCAAGAATCCGTTATTCTCGAGCAAGCTATTCAATCGGTCCAGCACGGACGCGTTGCAGAAGTTCACGTTGTCAAAGACAACCCAATGTCCACGGACAATCGCTTCGATCAGCGAGCCGTCGATCCATTCAAACGCCACATGCTTCGACGCTCGTTTGATCGCCTGGATCGCTAGAAGCACTTCGTTCGCAGGCTTCAGCAAGTTTTTCATTTCGTCCACATAGTCTTCCTCACAAGACGCAAAGAGCTTGGAGAGCGTTTCTTCGCAACGATTCAAAACAGAATCGATATCCACTCCATTGTCCGACCCTCCATCCACCAATGCCATGACTTGCTGATTCAAATAGCTAATGAACGAGTGCAACGCAGACACCAATTCCGAAGGAAGCATCGCTCCGATTCGCGGAGTCACTTCTCTCGATCGCTTGTGGCCTTCCGCGATTCCTTCGCTCTCGCTTTGGTCGATCGAATAGCGCGTGTCTCCGATGCTGTTCACTCGAAGACGCTTGTTCGAGAAGTCCTGCGCCGGATTCGCAACGCTACAATTCGAAATGAGAGCGCGCCACAAGAACTTCTCCAAGATTTCAACCAGCTCGCCCAATAACCGCGAGTAATGCCGCGAAACCTCCACCTGCTCGAAGCAACCGAGAATCTCCGTGGCGTCCGTGGTCGTGTTCATGTTATACTCGTGCAGACGGACGTTCAGCAGAGAAGACAACGCTTGCAGCGAGTAGCTCTTTCCAGACCCGCTCTCGCCCACTAACAAACACGGCAGTTTATTCTCCACCGTGAACAACAGTGACTCCAAATAGCGGAGCGAGCCGCGCAGAAGCGGCTGGTGCAGGGTAGATTGAGACGAGTTGATTCGATGCACCAACGCGTTTCCGATCTTCACGGAATGGTCGGTCAGATGCACGAGCGGGAATTGGGCTGGGACAAACGACGTCTGGAAGACTTCGTTGAAGAGATCCAGCACGTGCTGCTGCTGGCGCGCGTCTCGCATTCGCTGGATGAACAACATGTCCAGGAACACTTCGGGATGGAACTCCGCGATACTCTGATTGGCCAGCATCAGATCGCACCAACGGAACACATCGCGAAGATTGAACTCGAACGAATTGACGTTCTTTGCACGACCCACGTTTTGAACCTCGTCCAATCGAATCACAAACGTCACCATTTTCTCGAGCATGCTCCACACGGATTCGCATGCCAGCAGCGGATTGTCGCTTCCGTAGTACTGCTCGATCTTCTTCATCATAAGCTGCTTGCTGATCAGAAGCATGTCGTCTTGCTTCAACGTATCGACGTACACGCGCGCAAATCGGTTGATAAACGAGCGAGGAAGTCCCTTGCGACCTCCGCCTTCTTCCAACGGATTCTACACCCATCAACACCCTCTTCATAACACTCACTTGACACGCGAAGATCTGGAACGATGGAGGGCACTGGAACTCTTTATCGATCTCGGGAATGTAAACCGTAGCTCGATGATCCAAGCATGAGTTCAGACCTTCCAGCACTTGTTGCGAAGCCAGATTCAACTCATCCAGCAGAATCCAAGCACCGCTCTTGATTCCACTAAGCAACACTCCGTCCGACCATCGGAACTGCACCGCATTTCCCGATTCGTCCAATGATTGCTCCTCCACGGGAATCGGGAGATCCGATCCCAGCAAATCCGCCATATCCGTCTGCTCGGAGAGATTGATTCGCACGATCTTCTGCCCGATCACTTGCGCGATCGCCATAATCAGCGAGGTTTTGCCGACGCCCGGCGATCCTTCGAGAAGAATGGGCTTGTGGAGCTGCAAAGCGCGCATCACACGACGGAGATTCGAAGCGGTGGTAGGCGCAGCGAAGTGATAGTCAGAGAGATCGCAGGAGGAGGACGAAGAAGGGCTCATCGCGATGGAATACGGAGGCACGCCGAAGCGACTGCCGTCCAGCTGGATTTGGTTTTTGATTTGGAAGAATTGGTCCACTTCGGATTGGTTGCTCGCGGGAATGAGCTCCAAGATTTTGGAATAACAGCGTTGCTTGTATTCCGTGCTCATCGTAGAACTCATGTTGGTACCAATGCCCAATCCATCGAGCAAGATCATGTTGATCGACTCGACAAAAGCGACATAGGGGGACATGTCCAAGTGGCAAATCGCAAGCTTCATAAAATCGATTATCGATAAAATATCACGACACGTCGCCTCGGTTCGGTTCTGCATGCTCGATGTGTTCTCATTCAAAATCTGATTGTAGAAATCGATGAAGGCGAGAATCACGTCCACAAACGGCAGCAAACACTCCACCATTCGCTGGTGGATCTCATCCGCCACCTCCGCAAACCGAACATTTCCTCGCTCTTTCATCTGAATCCGATCCTTCATAATCTGACGAAGATCCTCCAATCCGTTTAGCGGACTCACCCAGATCTCCGTGAATCGGTTTCGAAGCGCAGCACTCAATTCCTTCTTTCCGAAATCGCCTCCCGGATTCATCGTTGCTAGAATTCGGAACTTTTCATGCGCTGTAATCACCTCAATGCAATCACCTCCTTTTTCAGGAACCGTGATTTGGCGCTCGCTCTCCAAAATCGAGTTCATTCGCTCCAGCACGGCGTCCTCCGCCAGCGAAATCTCGTCCAGCAAGAAAATATCGCCGTGCTTCATCGTCGAAAGCAGCGGACCGTCCTGCCACGTGAAGATCGTCTGGTACCGACCGAACGCTTCACGAATTGCTTGCACCAATGCTCGCTCCTCGTCACTCATCGCTTCGTCGCGCGCTTGCAGCTGTGGACCCAGCCAGCTCATGATAAAGCTGGGCGATTCGTTGAGTAGCCACGTTCTCGCTTCCTCCAGAGACGCGAGCGAAACATCCTCTGGGTAGGTGAGTTGCGATCCCACCATTTGAATGTACTGCAAAACACTCTGCTTAAACAGAACCGCGTCCGCGTCATGCGATCGCGAAGGTCGCTGTCCACCCAGAATATCGCTCGTTTCGGTATGTGCATGACTATCGTCATCACACCGAATCGATCACGCCTACCAGTTCAAAATAACGAGATGCTGATGCAGGGCTTGCGCGACCAACTGAACGGCGGTCGTTTTTCCACACCCCGTTCCTCCTACGAGAAGCACGGGTTCGTTGTAGTGCAGACAGAGACCGATCAGCTTGAACATTTTCTGCAACGTGCCCGTGATCGCGATCGATTTCAATCCGCTTGGAATCGCCGTTTCGCTCTGCAGATACTCGCGATGAATCTGCTCTTGGAGAGACTGCAAGGTACGCAGATTCCACAGCTGCGCCGATTGATTGCTGGGATTTGGGCGGGAGAACGCGGAGGGCGAAGGATCCATCATTCGATCGATGATCTCGTCGTTCAGATAGAACGCATTCAAGTCCAGTTTCACTTTGCACACCTCTTCAATCACGCTCTTCACGCGCAGCCGCTCATCATCGCGTCGCAATCGCTCTGCTAGCAGCATATAGCCATGATACGCCAATTCCTAAAACAATTACGCTTCTCCCTAACCACAGCTTACCTCGCTCGAAGCAGGACGGCGGTTTCCCCAACGGAGCAAGTCGCGAGGCGTGATATACCCGTCTTTTCCCGCGAACACATTGCTGTTCTGCCGCTCGATCTGAAGCCGCTGCATCACCGTAATCATTTCCTTCGCGAATCGCGTGCACACGCCCGATCGCTTCTCAATAATGATCTGAAGCTCTTCGGGAGGCAAATCCTCGACATGCATCTCGAGGAATCGGTTGCGGAAGGCGCGCGACAGCACTTTGCGGCCTCCGTATTTCCCTGGTGGATTCTGCGTGGCAAAGAGCATGAACTGCGGATGAGGCCGGACGATTGTGTTGGTTTCGGGGATGTACAGCTCGCGATTATCGTCGAGGAGACGATTCAATGCTTCGAGCACTTCGGAAGGAGCGAGATTCAACTCATCGAGAATGACCCAGTACCCGTTTCGCAACGCCTCGACCAGCAATCCTTCGTGGAAGACGAGCTGACCGTTGGGCGCGGAGATGTAGATGCCGGTGTAGTCCTGCAGATCGGTGTATTCGTGGTTGTTGATTCGAACGCATTTGTGGCCCGTCAGCGCGGCTAAATACGTAATCATCGATGTTTTTCCGGAGGATGTGGGACCCTGAAGGAGAACGGGACACTTCTCCATCAGCACGGCGCGACACAAGTCGTCCAATCGATGCTTCACTGACTCTGTTAGAATGAAACGTGGCGGCGAGTCCTTTGTCGGCTGACTCAGATCCACGCAAGGAAACGCTCCTTTCCGAATCCAATACTTGTTCACAAGCACGAACTCCTCTTTGTGACTGTTGGTACCGCCAGGATTCCGCGAGGGATACGCCGAAACAACATCGCCTCCGAAGAACACGACATCCTGAATCAGCTTCTTCATAATCGCCTGCGACGGCAGGTCCAGCATCGTCATAAACGCCATGCAAAGTCCTTCATACAACGCCACACGGAACGACAGCTTCATATTCCCCGCTCCATTCACAAACTCCAACGCACGGCACAGCGTTCGCAGCGAGTAGCGAGGCGAGCGATTGCCCCCATCCACCAGCGACGTTTCGGCTTTGGCGCGCGCCTGAAGATAGAAATCCACGATCTTTCCAGCGATCGAAACGTCGCTCATCGAGCAGTTCTCCAAAGACGATCGCACGATCAGCTCCAGATCCGCGCGGTCGGTCAGCTCGTCCACGTAAAACTCGCTGAATCGATTCCGCACGGAGGGAGCCAGGGACTTCTTTCCGACGTCCGTCGCCGGGTTCATCGCGGCGAAGATTCGGAAGTTCGGGTGGCGCTTGATGGGCGTCACATCGCCGCGTTCACTCAGAATCAGACTGCTCGTAACACTTTCTAAAAGTCCGCTTAATCGCTGAAGCACTTCGCCTGGAGCCAGGTTGAGCTCGTCGAGCAGGACCCACTTCCCCTTCTCGATCGCCTCCACCAACGCGCCGGGAACGAACGAAAACGCAAAACTGTCCTCGACTTGATGGACCTTCTTTTCGAAGGTTTGCACCGACTGCAAAAACCCGCTCAAAACGGAAAGCCACCGGTCGTATTTCTCGACGGACTATGCGTGATTCAGTCGAAAGAGCTCCTCACCATGTTGTTCTTCGCCAAGCTCTGCTTCTTCGCCTTCTCGATTTTCTGCGCCGCGAACGAGACAAAATGAGCAAGCCGATTGGCCAACCTCAGATAATTCTTGCTGTCCATCGCTTCCTTCAACGAAGGCTTGAACGTGGGGTGCTTCTACTCATCAGCCCTTTCCGCCCAATCGCGCACATTGTCCGTGAAGAGAAGATTGAACAACTCGCAGCATCGATTGTACAGCGGAATCGCCAGCTGACGCAGATCCACCGGCTTGAATCCTCCCACGAGATCGCTGCACTGCGTCTGCTCGTTCATATTCAGCACTACCAATTCCTGACCCACCAGCTCGGCGATGTATTGAATCACTGTCGTCTTTCCACAGCCCGTTTCTCCAACCAGCAGCATCGGTTCCTGGCTGTTGATGCACACGCAGATCTGCTGCATCAGTCGCAGCGCCTGCTTCGTTTTGTAGAACGGGCGGTTTCGCCGGCCATCCTTCGCGAGGGGCATCTGAACGCGGCCGATCTTCAGCACATTCTCTTCCAAATCGAACGGCGGCGCGGTGCTGGTGTAGGTGTCAACGACCGAAGAAGACAAGTCCCACACCGCCGCGATGATATGCGATAAAATCGTGCGGCCACGTCCCTCGGGGAGACAGCCGGCAAACACATCCAAGGCGTCGTCCAGAATCAATTTACGCGTCTTCTCGGAGAGATTGCCGTTCGCAATCTGCGTAACGGAGGGCTGGCTGGAGAGTCGTTTGCACCACTTGAGAACGTCGCGACACGTGACGGGCTTTCCGTTGCGGAGCAATTCCGATTTCAACACACTCAGATCGGTGGGCGTGACCGACACAGAGAAGTGCGAGAGCTCTTCGAGGATCGCAATCACGGCTTCATTCGAGGAAGAGGAAGTGTCGGCCATGCTCAGCACTTGGTACGTTGCGACGATTTTTTCTCTCTACGAATCACACAAAACGATCAAAAAAGACGATGCAGTCGAGAAGATTTCCGAATCGCTCGTCGATGATTGTGCGAATATCCTCCACTGTCATGTTCGCCACATCCACAATGTTCCAGTGATTACTCAGAAAGCTGTTGATCGGACTGTTGCTCACGCTGCAGTCATGGCAGCTCGTTCCAAACAAGCGGAAGTTGGGGTGCACTTTCAGCATGATTCCACGACTCGGAATGCTCAGCTCGCCTTTCTCGATGATCGGAAGCAGAGTCGACACGATATCAAACGGGACCTTGTCGATATCTTCGATGATAATCCATCGACCCGTCGTGATGCACTGCGTCAGCGTTCCTGGCTGAAACACGAACTCGCCGGGCACATCGGTGCAGACGTAGTTCCCGATCAGCGTCTTGGAGTCCATCTGATCGTCCAAATACAGCTGAACATAATCGTCATTGTTCGTCTGATGCGCCAGCTCCTGGAACAGACGCGTCTTTCCGCAGCCCGCGACGCCCTGCAGTAAAATCGGCGCGGAGTGCTGCATCTGCAAACACAAATGTTGCAGATTCGAGCGGGACACTTCGGTCAGCACGAACGGGTGGGGAGGCGACGCGGATCTTTCTCCGTCTCTGCATCGCAAGATGTAACCGCAGATTTCAACGTATCGCTCGGATTTCATCCCTTCTTTCGGCTCCACCTGCATTTCCTCCATATCTCCGTAGCGCTCCAGGTATTCGCGTCTTTTCTCGGTAATCATCTCTTTGTAAAGAAGTTCCTCCTTCTTGAGCTCCATTAGAGCTGTGGATTGGTAACATGAACCACGATCCACTCCCAGCAAGGACTCCATCTGGTTCCGCTCGTTCTCGGTTTTATTTAATAGCAAACAGACGATTTGGGAGGCGAAATAGCGAACGCGGATGTTCTCACACGAAAGAAACTTGAATATAGACTCCCAATTCCACGCCATGCGGACCTCATTCAAGACATAGGGAAGAAGGTGGAAAAGAACGGTCCAACCCTTCAAATCGTTTGCACAAAGCCAGTGACTAAAAGGATTTTCAATAGAAGATAAAAAGACAGATATGGGCTGTGCCAACGAGGGAACGACCCCAAGTAAGAGACTACATGACTCTAAAACAGAATATATATGCACAGCTTGTATGTCGGTTTGTTTGCCAAGTCGTTCCAAATAGCTGTTCACCACTTGGATCAGGTTTGACTGAATTTGGCAAACACTTGTTAAACACTCACTACAATTGGTCAAACAGTGAAGCAAACGAGCCTACCTCGGAATGAATAATTTGTCACCAGAGTTATCCATTCGGTACTGTGATTTTGGCAAAAAAGATAGTAAAGAAACGCCCCGAGAGAATGAAAAACAAACAAGCTAAAAAAACTTCAGGATGAACTACTTTCCACCATAGATACACTTCATCTGCTGGAGAACACCTGGAGAAAATGGATTACCTAAAAGTAAGATACCGAGCGTGTTCTCACCATCGAAGACTATAGACCGAATAGAACAATCCACGTTCGCACTCACAAAAACGTCTAACAAAGACTGGGCAAAATGATCGTCAAGTTGATTATCTAACTCTCATGCTTCCATATAAAAATCACAAGATAGATCAAGAGTATTCAACGAGGTGATCCGCTTTTGAATGAGAACCTGGATGAAGGGAATCACGCTCTTTTCCGTCAGCAAGTTATCTATTGGTCAATTTGCCCCCCAACCCAAACGCGACAAATCGATCTGAACCAAACTCGGAAAATCGTTCTCTCGAATGAACCGCGTGAACAGCTCCATATGGCCATCATTAAAGTCGCAATCGGGGAAACTCACGTCATCAATGGTGTCCAAGTTGAAGCTGCTCGGGTCTTCGATCATCTGCTGCAGCACCGTCGCGACTGCGTCTTCCGACGAGTCTGCCTCCACATACGCCGGCTCAGCGGACTGGGCGGCGCCGCCCGCGTCCATCGAGGGAACATTCGAATTGCTGTAAGAATCGAACTGGCTGGGCTGAGAGGGCTGGTCAAACTGCCCGTAGCGACCGAACGAGGCGTCCGCATCGTCGAGCTGGGGAGCGAACGAGTCGCGCGGGAGCGAGAAGTCGTCGGGGATGGGAGGAATCGGCGGGTTCTGCTGGATCTCCTCGATCTCTTTCTCGAGTCGCATCACCGAGTCGCGCAGCTGGTTGATGTAATTGTCCTTCTCCTGCAGCTGCTTCTGCAGTTCGCTCTGCTGCGCCGAGTTCGCACGCGAGGATGCGCTGCTATTCGAAGCTTTCAGCTTCCACGAATCGCGTTCCTGCGTCATGGAGCGGAGCTGTGCATTCAAGTCCTGCACTTGCTTCTGCAGTTCGCTCTGCTGCGCCGAATTCACGCGCGACGCCTCGCTACTGCTCGAGGCTTTCTGCTTCAACAAGTCTCGTTCCTGGGTCACAGAGCGGAGCTGCGCGGTCAAATCCTGCACTTGCTTCTCTGCAGCGGACGCGCGGCGCGAGATTTCATTCACGCGCTTCTCATACGTCGACGTCCGCGTGGACAACTCGATCACCTTCCGCTCCGCCTCGTCCGCTCGCCGCTCCAATTCGCGTTCCTTCGACGTGTTTCGAGCTGAGCTCGACTTCTCTTCCGCCTCTGCTTGGAGCCGATTTCGCTCGTTCGACAGTTGAACCACCGTCGCGGACAGCTCCTTCACTTGTTCCTGCGTCTCTTGCAGCTTCTTCTCCGCGGTGGTCGCTCGCTGCAGCAACTGCGACGAGCCCGCCGTCGACGCGCTCTTGTTCTTCAGCTCTCGATTCTCATCCGCCAGCGAGCGGAGCACCGAGTCCAAATCCAGCAAACTCAAACGCAGGTCGGTCACCGTGCTCACCATCTCCACCACTTGCGCGCTGCTGTCGCTGGTGTACGTCGAAATCAGTCCGTTCACCTTGGTGGACATCGCGTTCAGCTTCTCCTGCGCGCTCTTCATGCTTCCAGAGAGGTCAGGCTTCGTGGAGGACATGCTTCGCGTCTGCATACTATCCAGCATCGCGGTCACGCTCTGCAGCTGCTGTCTCAGCGCATTTACCAGACTGCTGGCTCCGTCTGACGAGTCTGCGCTGCTAGGAGCGGAAGGGGATTGGGCAGTGGCTGCTGTCTGGTCTGCCATTGCCTGGCGCAACTCACTGTTCTCCTTCATATACACCGCGATGTCTTGCCGATTCTCCTCGAGCTCCTTCGTGGCAGACTGATAGAGCTGCTGGTATCGCTCCAGCTCCTTCGACAAACGCGCCGTCTCGTCACGGAGCGCGTTCGACTCCAATAAAGCGCTGTTGTACTGTTCTTTCGCCACGTCGTACCCGTCGACCAACTCATTATACTTCGTCACGGTCTCACGAAGCTCCTTGCGGCAATCCGCGAGCGCATCCTTCAGTTTCTTTGAACCCGTCCCCGGGACATAGGATGCTTCATACTCCTGCAATTTCTCGATCAATGAGAAATTCTGGGAGCGTAGGGTAGTAACATCCTTGACCATGCGCGATAAATCCTCTTTGAGGGCTGCTAACTCCTGCTGCGCTGCTTTTCTTTCTTCGCTGTTCTTCGTTTTTAGATCATCCATCTCTTTCTGCAGAGATGAGACCTTTTCTTTGTAAAACGCATTATCCTTTTGAATGGACTGCACGTAGATATCTAAAAACGAATTCTTCTTCGAACTCGACATCGTGTTCCGTTTTCTCGAATAATTAAAAATATCGTTACTCAAAAATAGCCTCGATTTCTGGAATTGACGCAAACAAACAAGTCAAAGGAATAATTCATTATACAGAGAGTGAATATCATAGAGAGAATAGTCAGAGGAGTAGCGCAGCGCAAAAGTGAAGAATTCTACATCACGAGTCCTCTCCCAGCCAATACTCTTCAATCTGGGTCCTAGAGATTCCATGTACTGCTTTTCAACACAGCAATTGTCCAGAAACAGCGACTTATCCTTCGTCCGAGTCCATTCCAAATAGGGGTTTCTCATGAACAGAGCAAAGTAGCAAACGATCCCCAGCGACCAGAGATCGCTCTGCAAAGTATGGTCTGCCTCGCCAACATAAACATCGGGTCTTGTATAATCTAGAAATGAGAGTAGGAATGAAGGAATGCATCTGGTACCGCAGAGCGCATGATTCGAGCCGCTAAATCCGAAATCTAGGAATCACTCGATCGCTCCTGCCCTCACCACAAAGCTTGTAGATGATACTATTTTCGCTTCGTAAAAACTCGGTATATTCACTGAGAAGGTCCGAGTGAGGAAAACTATTCCGGAAAACTAATATATTCTCGGGCTTGATGTCGCGATGCACAATCATATGGTCTTCGTATAAAAACAGCAAAGCATCGAAGAGTTGCTTTAGCATCTGAATGGCTTGAATCTCGGATAAGCAGCCGTGACACTGAATGAAGTCATACAACTACGGGTAATAATGCAATGGAGGCAGTACACTGCCATTCGGTGAATACTCCAGTTCAATGATTCGACAGAGCGTTGTTTTTCTTGTACAATAGCAGCGAATAATATTGGGGTGGTGGCACTTTGCGAGAATATCTCTCTCGTTACAAAAGGCATTGGATCTTGTCAAAATGGGATCATAAGCGAATAGAACTTTAATACAAACTTCTTTTCCATCGGACAATCGTTCTGCCTGATAGATAATAGCCGTCTTTCCCCTAGCACTCAAGTGTTTGATGAAAACGATACGAACCTATCTTTTTCTTTATGCTATATATCGTATTCACGTCCTTTTCCATTCTCTTCTCGATATAAATCCGGATCCAGCTTTTTAGAGAAGAGAGGATATCCATGCACATTTGGTACCCAAGAACAATACAAAGACCTGCTACTGTGTACTTTACAATAGCATTTCTCATTATTGCAACAAAACAAGTAAAACAATAATCAAATTTCCAATTGCTCCCCTTAATCTTCCCATTCATTCTAATTTCTAAATCCTGTCCCGCCCTCAGCACTTCGAGACTGGTGTGCCTCCGATAGTGTAGGAAACCTCCCCTTCATCAATTCCTTCTTCAGCGTGGTCTGGTTTATCACATCCAATCAAATCCCTACGTTCATTCCAATCACCCCTGCAGAATTATCCTTCCATTTACTCGGAGCTGCAGGCTTCGGCTCCGCTTTGGCCGAAGGCAAATTCATCGGCAAGCAGGGAAAACTTCGGCAATCCATGGGGTTTGGCTTTTCTTCCGGCTCTTCATACGAGAACTCAAAGCACTGCTCGAGATACGCCTTTTCGTCCTTTTCAATTCGATGCTATGAATGAATGGAAAGGAAAAGAATAAACTCGAATTCGCTGGTCTTCTCGTTTCATTTGTTGCTTTGCTTTCCTTCGAGCGTGTTCTCGTTTTTTCAATTTATCGAATAAGGCAGAATCGATTCGCCCAGGAATCACCGAGAGAACGTTCAGTTCCACCAAGTGCACGATCGAAAAAGCGGGCATGTGGTTGAGAATAATGTCTTTTCGCCCATCAACGACGAACTCCATGTCATCGATTTGATTCACCGAGGCGGTGATGAGTGGCGGCAGCTCGTTGTATCCGCCGAAAAACGAACAAAGACAGCGGAAACAAAGAGGAAGCAAGTGATACGACAAGTTCGAGGGCACTGTGTAGTAATAGAGAAGATCGACATTGTTTTCTCTCTCCTTCCCATCGAAATCAAGCTCTTTCTTCTCACTTCCATTCGAATTCGAGTTTGAGTTTGAGTTTGAGTTTGAAATTGAAATTGAATTTGAATTTGAATTCAAATTTGAATTCACTCGCTTCGAAACGAATTCTTCGAGTTGACGACGAACCATCTCGACTACGCCTTTCATCAGCACTTCGCCCGCTTGATCCATATCGGATTCCGCTTCTTGCAGCTGTTTCAACTCCTCTTTGGCGCAGTTCAATTCATAGGAAGGCGAGTTCACTAAGTAATGACAGAAGGAAATGTCTTCGATTGGAGCGTCCGCGCGCGGGATATTCACGGAGAGGTAATGCTGCAGGCGGGGATTCAGCACGGAGAACGCATTCACGCAGGTGGAATGGCGAACTACGAGCTCCATCGTGGTCTTCGCGCCCTCTTTGATTCGATTTCGTCTGGAGAAAAAAGTGACCGGACGCAGAGAGGAGGCGCCGATTATTTCAGAGCACATGGGACATTTGGTGTACTCCGTGTTTTGCTGCCGGAAATAGTACATAATGCATCCTAGGCAGAAGATGTGACCGCAACTCGTGGCACGGGGCACTGAGTATTCCATCAAGCAGATGGGACAACAGTCACCGTCTTCTTTGCAACATTGCAGAGAGGCCACGTCATCCCACACCACCTCCTTTTCTGGGTTTGATACATACCGTTTTACGTCACAAAATTCGTTTAGCACGATACGGAAACTAGAAACTGAAGAGAAAAACGAACTCCCACTTTGTCTGCGCAAACTTTCGGTTTTTCTTTTTATGAAACTGCTGCTTCGAAGAGTGGTGGTAGTGAGGACGACTTTCGGAAACAATGGGAGAGAAAAAGAACCCCACTGGGCTTAACTGTGCCTGCTGGTCCTCTCCCACTCGGTTAGACCTTTTTCCTGGCATACTTCTAAAAGAAGAGAAAAAAGTAACACTTTTCCTTTTTTCTTCATGAGTTCTTTGACAGGATTTATTGTTTCGATTGTCTCGTCAAGGGGAATACCATGTGGATGCTATTCTGTGAAAGTAACACACCTCCTTCCGATCTTACCCGATTAGGTTTCTTACAAGGAAAACGAAGCGGACCTCGGCCATATGAAAAAGAACACAAATGTACACCTCGGCCGTTTTTTTCCTTTCTCTGAGAGCGAACTTGGATCGAAGCTGTATCATAAACTCGAAATCAGTGTTTTTCGTCGCAATCACACATATTCCAATGCGTTTTCGTTGATGTTTTGGATGAAGTGTAGAGAGTTGTTTTCTACCGTCTCGCTTCCTATCTCTAATTTAAATTTGAGTGGTAACGATAAATGTCAGACGAAAGAAATACCGTTATCCGTGATTCTACCATACTTTCAAAAAACTAGCTGTTTTCTTACGGTCCGCATGCAAACGGTGTATTCTGATTCTGTTTTTCAACTTTCCAATCCAGAAGGCCACATTCCCATTCTAACCTCGTTTGAGATGATTCAAGCCCGTCTAACCGAAGGTGAATGGAAACAGAGATACATAGGCGCGATTGAACTTCCAAATCGTGACGTCTTGTTCACGGAGCCTCTTTTCGGACTCACTCCAGGTTTCTTTTCGATCTTTCCTTCATTTCCAGCGTGGAAACGGAGGTTTTTTGTGGCCTTCAACCCCGAATGGCTTCGCCAGAAGTTCGAAGTCGTTGTATACAGTCACAACGACGGATTGCTTCGCTTCGTAGCCAGCGGCACGTTCACCTTCCAGTTCTCCAGCGAGCTCAAAGAGCTCTGCGTTCCGGTAGTTTTTTCTTTTTGGTTTTGAACGGCAGCTGTTCTCGGGAAGGAGGCGGATCGGAGAGGTGTCTGTCGAGCTGAAACACGCTTTCTGCTGCTCGGAATATACGCGTATGGAGGTTTCTCACGAGAGGTTTTGTGATACGTTTACGAAGTCTGCGGAGTCGAGGGATGCGATTTCGGAGGGGTCACCCAGTGAAGAGGATTCGCCGTATTTGTGTTTTGGGGCGGTTTAGACGTAGATCCTCTCCGCGGAGACACTTTGTGAAGGTTCGTGAATCATTTAAATGAACTGTTTGTTGGAATGGCGTGTATTTGGTTGAAGATATGTTGAGAGGATATTGGAATGAGCGTTGATAGGTGTTTTGCTGAGAAATCAAAAATAAAACCTATTATACGTCTCAAAGAGCACTATTGTAGACAGAAAATATAATATGATAATCACATACGCCGTAGAGTATTACCGGAGTAATAACGAAAACGCTCGCTTATTTTCATTTCAAATAGGATGCAAGGTATACTTACATCCTAGCTATCTTAATACAAATCAAAAGATATCGAATAGTTCTCTGTACAAGTGAATGAACACGAGACGACCAACTGGGTTGTCCATCAACTCTATAACAGTTTGTTTCCAAAATTTTCAATTCATGTTCGAGAAACTACAAATCGAAAATGAATGTCAGGCGTTTCATTATTTTGAATTGCAGTTTTCTCAATAAATATACCCACTTTCTGCAAAGAATCAGAATGGTGAATACCTTTGTTCGATTTGGAGTCATGGCCGTAGCCATGGTGCTCTCGCGTTTTGTAGATACTTCAAATCCTGACATGCTCATGAAAGTAAGAATTGCATATGTAGTGAGCGTTGTTTTAAATGCTTCTATATTTTGGTACATCCGTACTCTAGTGAGAAGCAAGCATGACGATACGAAGATCTACATCGTTCGTAAACTATTGGGACAGGAGAACGTCGAGGAGACGACCTATTTTGAAAAGGAGGAGCAAGTTTGTTCTCAGTCCATCACAGGTGCAGTTTCTGGTGTTGCGATGACTCTGGGACTGATGTCTATGAAGTTGGGACTGCATTACGGTATGGTGATGCAAATTATTCAAATGCCTTTTAATCTGTGGATAAACCCTCTTTTCCAGATGTACATTTTGAAGAAACCCGTTGATCATCCTTGGGACGAGCAAACTGAAGTGTATTGAGTGACCGAGCAGCAGTAATGAATAGACCTATTGGAAAGATGAGCAAGAACGAGTCAGTGGAAGGTTTGAAGAAGGAAATTCAGAAATGCTGGGACGACGGTGAAGTAGCGACCTATGATTCGTTGCTTCAGTTGTGCTCTCTGGCGGGCGTGAATACTGCAACGGAGGTTTGACATCTTATCTCTTTCGTTAGATCTAGCACGGTTGGACACCCCTGATGGTCATCATGGGCAATCCTCTAGGTGATATGAACGCCATTGACACACTCGTGAAGCTGCGTGTTTCCATCGACGCTCAGGATGACGAGGGTTGGACCTGTCTGCACTGGGCGGCGTATCACAACAATGTGGGAGGAGTCGAGAAGCTAATGGAGACGGTGGGCTCGGTTCCGGTGCTGAAGCTTCTGACAGTGAAGAATAAGGAAGGCTTAACAGCGCTGGAGGTGGCGAAGAAGAACGGACAGTTGAATTTCGAGAATTGGCTGCAGGCCACTGTGAAGTAGACAAGTTGAGGGAAGTGAAGTGTAGGGATGAGATGTCGTATCTGGAGGATATTGGCCAGAGTGTTGATGATTCTTTGAAGAAGCAATTGCTTACAAACTAAACGAATTTATGAGGGTGTTTAGAATTTTGCTGTTTGTTCTGTATACCTATGCAAACTGATACGCTTGATGAGGGAAGTAGTGTGAGGAACAATTACGTGGGCTTGGATGAATACAAAGTTGGTTTTTCTGCCGAAGTGGAGGAATTCTTTTCTCAGCGTATTGGCCAAGATGAATTTTCCAAAATATGCAAACTCTCATGCCAAGCACCTCCGTATCTTTCACATTTCGCATTTTCATCATCTAGGTACACTAGCATTCGTATAAATGTATTATCCACAACTAGAGAGGAGGCAGTAAGAAAAGAGAATATTAATAATGGGTTAGTTGGAGAAAGTGAAAAACTTGCTGATTCCTTTTAATACAATGTTGGAAGGTGAAGGGAGAAAACCCGTCGTTCCGATTTTAGATGAATCGATCAAGGAGTTTATCATGATTCCGCCTGCAGAACCTAAATGCCCACCCATTGATTCCCTGCGGTTGTTACCTATTGTAGACTATAGTGGTAATGACGAATTAGGTTGTTATTGACCGTTTATGTGGAGAGAGTGTTTTGCGAGGAAGCAACATATTTGTGAAAGGAATTCAGAGCATGGAGCGGACCTGCACAAAGGGAGAGCGTGTATGCATTGTGGTAAACATCTGCAACACAAATCTTCCCCGAGGTTCCGATTTGGGCTTGTATGATGGTAAAAACATGTATTCTAATCTTTTTTTCCCTGTCGTAGCATCATTGGCGAGGGCGTTCTCGAACTGACTCGAAGCGAAGTGTTTTCACTTGAATCAGGTCTTGCAATCGATCAAATCCATCGATCTTCCTGTTTCCTTCCTGTTTCCTTCTCAGCCTAGTCGATTTACCACCCCTCGAATCCCTTCCCAACGATCTACTCATGCAGAACTTCCCATCGCTCATCACATCCCGCATCCTCGATCCTCAGCCCGGCGAAGCCATTCTCGATTGCTGCGCTGCTCCAGGGAACAAATGGTCCCATTTATGCATGCTGATGCAGGACAAAGGGCTGGTTTTAGGAATGGATCGAAGCCGAAAGAAAGCCATCGACAATCTTCTCGCTATCAAACAAAAATTCGGATATCAAAGCCTTCAAATCCGCTATCTCGATATGACCAAAGTGCGGATTTGAGGATCAGGGTTGATGATAGGGCGTGATGAGTGAAGAAGAAGAGCAGAAACTCTATCGAGAGGGAGCGGATTATCGCATCCCCGCGGGGAACGACGCGGCCGTTTCGCCATTGGAGAGTAAATCGTTCGAGAAGAAACTCCGCCGCATCATGAAACAGAAAGAGCGAAAACAAAAACAAAGGGAGCAAAAACAGGGCAATGCGAGCGTTTCATCCGTCGAGAAGGAGTCTGCGATTCCCGCGGTTCTTCCCGAGCGAATCATGGAACGCTATCTTAACAGTCGCAAACAGAAACAAGCGAGTGTCTAGGAATTGTGTCACTCTCAGAAAGCGGAACACAACCAGCAGGAGAAACGCCTTCTCGACTCCACGCTTTCCCCCGCGGTTCCGTTGCCCCTCCAGCACCTTCTTCTCGCCGGGATAATCGCGGGGAGTGCGAAGCTCCCCGGCTACCCGCGGGAAATCTTCGATCGTGTGCTGCTGGACCCTCCGTGTTCGGCTTTGGGTCTCCGCCCGCGGTTATTGCACGAAGTGACGATGAATGATTTGATGGGGTATCGAAACTACCAGCGCCAGTTTATCGAAGTGGCGGTGCAGCTGCTGCGTGTGGGGGGAACGCTGGTGTACAGCACGTGTAGGAGAGAAGGGGGAGAGTGAGGGCAAGGCACGATCGACCCGATGGAGAATGAAGAGAACGTGGCGTTTATTGTGAGGGAGTTCCCGATGCGGTTGGTGCCGATTGAGGCGGAGTGGAGATTTGGGAAGGCAGGACTGGAGAATTGTGGGTTGAGCAGAGAGCAATGCGAGTGGGTGTTGAGAGAAAGGGGAGATGGAGTGTAGGATGGTGCAGCGGTATAATATGACGGAGAAGTGTAATTCGATCGGCTTTTTCGTTAGCAAGTTTGAAAAGACCGCTTCGTATAGGGGAAGGAAGTAATGAATGTTTGTTTGGAAAGAAAACCTTGTTGCATGATATGGGAGTTAGGAAAGATTGATTCTGATGTGGAACACGCAAAAGGATATCATTATGGAACCTTTGCTGGGAACATAGCGAATTCATCAAGAACTGTGGTATAATAAGGTAGTTTTATGTTTGTTGTGAAATATTACAAACAAAATGAACATGTGAGTGAGAAAATGGCTAAAAGTCTGGAAAGCCATATTCCTTGTCATGAAGAATAGTTAGAGCTTAAGATAACGAACGAATTGAAAAAAGAAACAAGGTTGTGCAAACACTAACAAATCAAAGATTTTCTATGTGCATAATCGGCAAATACAGAATTGTTCTATATTGGAAGGTAGTAAATAAGAAAGAGTGAATGGAAATGGAAGTCATCGTTTTTTTGGTAATATTACCTATGCGGATAAATTCAAAATGACTAGTTATACATATCCATATATGTACTGGAAGAAGGTGCGAATTTGGTGATCGATTGTTTGGTAACCTAGACTTCTCATACATGTTGCAAATGATTCCCCATATTCCATATATTTATAAAATCGGCACATCTTTAGCTTTCCTATTTATTCCGGAATGTTCGATAGAATTCTGAATCTTTTGGAATCGTTTCCTAACTTTTCATAATTTATTTATTTGATAGAACTAAGTTAGTGATAGTGATAATGAGCATTATTTTCCGTGATCCTTTCTTTGATAACTTTGATGATCTGCTGGTTTCGACCTTCCCCAAGCAGCATGACTTGGATTCTTGGTTCGGTGATGGAATTCGTCGTGATGTGATTACTCCGTTCAGTGGATTTGGCCGAATGGACATGAAGGAGAACGAGAAGGAGTATGAAATGAGTGTGGATCTGCCTGGAATGGACAAGAGCGAAATCAAGATGCATGTTGAAGATAATGGACTTGTGATTGAAGGAGAGAGAAAGAGCGAGAAGAAGGAAGAGAAGGACAAGTGCCATTTCTGTGAGCGCCACTTCGGTTCTTTCCATCGTGAAGTATCTCTTCCGAAGAATGCGAATGTGGATGGTATTAACGCGATGTATGAAAATGGAGTTCTGAAGGTAGTGATTCCCAAAAAGGAAGAAAGCGCCCAGAAGAAGCAGATTTGCGTGAACTAAGTGACGTGACGTGATGTAATGTGATGTGATATTGATTGTTTGTTTGTTTATAAACTAACAAAAATGTGGTGTGAAAGATCGATGCTCTCTGTTGAAACTAAGCGCAATCATACATGGGTTGGACTGTTTCGATTCCTCAATAACACTTTAATTACAATGCTCTATGACACTTATATTCAGGAATATCCATACTTTACCAATCCTTCAATTTAAAACAACACAATACTCTCTACTGTTCACATAAATGGGTAAACTCCTTTTGAATCTTATACAACTACATCAATAAGATGCTAGTAATAATCGCAATCAATGTTTTTCCGACTCAATGTTCACACTTTTCTTTCATTTGAACTACTCCTTTATTTCTTTCGTATTCCCTATTACTAAGGAGCATAATGAAGAAAGCAAAAGAGGTAATATTTGATAATTACACTAGAAACACTTCTATGCCTTCGAAGAGGGTAAATAGGAAAAATGTATGGATTATAGTAAGCATTCATTCTAGTTGGAAGCAGAGAGAAAAAGCCTTCCTGTGTTTGCCTATCGGAAAGACATTATTGAATCAGTAAAGAATAATCCCACTACAATTATTGTTGGAGAAACAGGAAGTGGAAAAACAACTCAAATTGCCCAATACCTGCTAGAATCTGGTTATTTTAAGTAAATACATTTCTTATCGATTATATATAGTGATGGTGTTATTGGAATTACTCAACCGCGTCGTGTGGCTGCCATCACTGTAGCCAAGCGAGTTGCTGAAGAAAGAGGAACAGAACTTGGAGACGAGGTTGGCTACAGTGTTCGATTCGATGAATGCACCTCAATGAACACTTGTATCAAGTTCCTAACAGATGGAATGCTCCTTCGTGAAGCCATGCTGGACCGTGAATTATCCCAGTACGCATTCAATCAGAAAAACTAAAATTTCAGATATAGTGTGCTAATCCTCGATGAAGCACACGAACGATCCCTTCAAACCGATATTCTGTGTTCTTTCATCCGCTATGTACAGCAAAGCCGAAAAATCCGTTTGATCGTGATGAGTGCCACCATTCAATGCGAACTATTCGAAAATTTCTTTTATCCAAACCACTCTGGATCGAATTTCCCAAACCACATCATTCAAATCAAAGGCCGCACTTTCCCCGTTGAGATCTAGTCTTTGTTTGGAATGAAATAAACGATAGTTACACACCCACACCCGAACCAGACTATTTAGAAGCTGCTTTAATCGCCATTCTCCAAGTACTCATTCATTCTCTTCTTCTCATTCTTTCAGATCCATTTAGATCTTCCCACTGGCGATATTCTCGTGTTTCTCACCGGTCAAGAAGAAATTGAATCACTGGCAGAAATGCTGGAAGAAAAGCTTCCTCTCTTCCCGAAAGACGCCAAATCGCTTCTGATTTATCCACTCTACGCAGCCTTGCCTCCCGAACAACAATTGGCCGTGTTTACTCCCACGCCTCCCGATTCGCGCAAAGTGATTCTGTCTACGAACATCGCGGAATCGTCGGTGACAATCCAAGGCATCAAATACGTCGTGGACAGCGGTATGATCAAAATCCGCGTGTCGCAAACGACCACCGGACTCGAATCGCTTCTCGTCACGCCCGTTTCGAAGTCACATGCGTGGCAACGATCGGGACGAGCAGGTCGTGAAAGTGCTGGGAAGGTAGATTTGATCAAACGATGAGACGCAGTGCTTTCGCTTGTTTCCTGAAGACGCGTTTCTCGCTCTTCCTGAAGACGCAGTGCCCGAAATTCAGCGATGCAATTTGAGCAGCATGATTCTTCAGGTGTGTCGTGGGTTATTGAATGGAACATAGCTGAAAACGATGGGGATCGAGGACGTTTTGGGGTTCCACTATCTGCAAGCTCCTTCGCGCGATTCGCTCAAACGATCGTTGGAGCAGCTGCTTCTCTTGGGGGCTCTGGATCGCCGATCTGTAATGAAGAGGTCTGGTTTGGATGTAGGGATCGCTGACCAAGCTGGGGAGAGAAATGGCGCTGCTTCCTTTAGATCCGCTATACTCCCGCCTGCTGATTCTGAGCAAAGAATACCACTGTTCGGCTGAGGTAGATGCGGATATGGATGAATGATGGAAAGATTCTGGATATCGTGTCGATTCTGTCTGTGGAAAATGTCTTTTATTCTCCACGCGAGGAGCGAGAGAAAGCCAACGTGTCGCACAAACGATTCGCTTCCGTGTATGGAGATCATTTGACTTATTTGAATGTCTTCCATGCCTATCGGTAGTCACCCATTTGGACATATCAACAATAGAGAGGAAAAAGGGAATGTTCAGTGGTGTCATGATAATTATATCAATTCTCGATCGATGAAGACTGCTGTGGAAATTCGCAAGCAACTCGTTGGCTATTGCCAGAAAATTGGAATTGAAGAAATCGTAACCTGCGTTGTGATTTCGTTGATTAGAGCTGCGAAGGGGAATTCGATCAGGTTCGGCGTTGTTTGGCTGCTGGAATGTTCGTGCAGGTTGCGAATCGAGTGAAGGAGGTTGTGAAGAACAGTCGGTGTGAATATCAAACCATTATAGGTCACAAAACGGCAGCCATCCATCCAGCCTCCGTTCTTTTTCAGAGGAAACCATACCCTGATGCGATTGTTTATACCATATCCAAATAGAGAGAAGGAGGGCTGTCCTTAACGGAGCAGGAGCTTGTGTACACGACAAAGGAATACTTTAGAGGAGTAACAGCGATTGAAGCAGCTTGGCTTCCTGAGCTGATACCTGAATGGTTTAGTTCGAAGAGTAATTTGGATGTTTGTTTGATAAACAGTGTGCATTCTTTATTGTAGAATGAGAGGAAGCGATTGGAAAGATAGGTGTTCAATTCACTTTGTTTAGATATAATAATCACAATAATAGAGAAGAATCACAATGCCATTCACAGTACTATGTTTGTCATGTATAAGAAATACTGGTCATTCATTCATTCAAAATATACTCAGATAACATCAAGCACAGAATGAAGTGATATGTTTGCTTTTCTGCCCTAAATTGCATTTTGGTTTTGACTCACTATACAATCTTCCATATTCCACAATAACATCATTATTATTACAATAATGTGGATGATTCTAGATTAAAGAGCAATCGTGTCAAAAGAGAATCAATCCCTTCACACCAATAGCCCCAATCAACAATACTGAATATCTATTCTCTTAAATCTAAATAGTTATATTTATGATAATATGCTAAAAACAAAATACACTATTGGTACTTGCTTTCTAAAGTGAATTGCACAGAAATGGTACATTCTACTTAGTATCAATATAATGCGTGAGCAAGTCCTCATTATTAACTGCAAGGATAATTGTCTGAACAAGAAATGACAAAAACGTAAGAAAGTCAAATGTATGGCTTCTGAGCTGAGTATATAGATATATAGTGCATAAAAGCAGCGAATTTATCGAAATACTAAGAAAATCAAAGGGATGAAGGAATACAATCTTTTAATGTATTCTCTTCATTTCGCAACAGAATAAAAGTGAAATAATTGTGATAATGAATAAAAATGAGTATCCCGTCCATAAAGAATAGGAAAAGAATGGTGATAACCATTGATTTAAAATAGTCCATATTTCGATGCAAAACATTGTTGATTTTGCCAATTCTGTTAGTAGTAACTATCAAGTAGACAGTTCTATCATTCAAATTGTTCAGGCATGCTTGGGGAAAGCAATGAAACCATATGGCTGGATTTCACTTATATTGAGTAATGGAGAATGTGTAGTATTGCAATTCGATAATGAAATATTCATGAATCAAGGATTTGTGGTCAATGAACAGAAAGTGTTGAAAGTGTTTGGAAATCATCAAATTGGTGCTATTTCATATAATGAAGAACAATCCATAGAAATAGTAGAAGGAATCGTGGATTTAGATCATGGAAGTCGATTTGAAGGATTGATATTGGCAGAAAACAAGTTTGGAATTCCATTTGGATATGGTGAAATGTATGATGATGATGGATTCTTGGTGTACAAGGGCATAATGATCAATTGGAAACGATTTGGATATGGAACGAGTTATCATGATAATGGATGTATTGAATATGAAGGATATTGGTGTGATGATAAGCGATTTGGAAGCGGCATTGTGTATGATCGATCAGGTAAATTAGTGAATGAATGTGAATGGTATAACGGAATTGAAAGCGATATTGATTATGAAGGAGATGGAAGCAAACCAATGAATATGGGAGTGAAACATTTGAAACTGAGTAACAATTGTGTATTGGTTGATTGGGATGTTTCATTGTTGTATAATTTGGAATCAATCGAAATCGGCAATGAATGTTTTGAATCAGTGCAAACATTCAAAATTGATAGATTGAATCAATTGAAAAGCCTGAAAATCGGAAACAATTCATTTACTCAGAGAAAGAATGAAGAGGATTATGATAAATCGAAATCATTCCACATATTGAATTGTGAATCATTGGAATCCATTCAAATTGGTCGATATAGTTTCAGTGATTTTGGAGGAGACTTTGAATTGAAAAATCTACCACAATTACAATCCATTCAAATTGGAATAATTGGAAGTGAATCATGCAATTTCAATGCTAATTCATTTGTGCTTCGAGGTATTGATATGATATTGAATATTTGAATGATGCATAGATCTTCCAAATCTACAATCCATTACATTAGGTGATTATGCATTCTATAGATCCTTATCGACAGTAATTGAAAGTATTGAATGAATTGGATTGAAATGATTGATGTAGATCTTCCATCATTAGAATCCATTCAACTCGGTAAATATGCACTTGAAGGAAGAGATTATTATTCAAGTTCATTGATAATGCGAAGTAATAATGAAATGATTCGAAAGATATGCTTTGTAGATCTTCCAAATCTAACATCAATCACTTCTGAAAAATATAGTTTCTATAATCCTCGTTGGGTGACATTGGAAAGTATTTCTGCATATTGAATATTGATAGTATTTAGATATTCCAAATCTTCGAAATGTCAAACTACCTAGTTCATTCAAGAAAGTTCGATCGAGATCAATATTGAGTATAGTTTGATTGATTTGATTTGATTCATAGATGTTTCTTCGATTCTGGTTGATCTTGTAAATCAAATGACTGATTCCGATTCCGATTCCGATTCCGATTCCGATTCCGATTCCGATTCTGATTCTGATTCTGATTCTGATTCTGATTCTGATTCTGATTCTGATTCTGATTCTGATTCTGATTCCGATTCCGATTCTGATTCCGATTCCGATTCCGATTCTGATTCTGATTCTGATTCCGATTCCGATTCCGATTCATATTCCGATTCCGATTCATATTCCGATTCCGATTCATATTCCGATTCCAATTCATATTCCGATTCCAATTCATATTCCGATTCCGATTCATATTCTGATTCATATTCTGAATAAATAAAGTGATAATATGCAGTTCTTTTTTAGATGATTGCATTTTCAATTGTTTGTTTGTTTGTTTCAAACTCGTTACCATCATTCTCTGGTTTTTGACTATAGATTTATTCATCGATTGACTCTTTTCCATCATTACAACATAGATTGAATTGACTAACATATTTTAATTCTTTGTGTAATCGATAATGAAAATGAAATAGAACTGTTGGGAAAACAAAAAGCTAAATGGATACGAATAGGTTTGATCCAATATTCAAAATAGAAATATGTTATACGAAACTGATTACTTAGACGATTCTTAACAATTCAACAAATCCTATCAACAGGATAGTCACATAGAGTATTGAGATTGACTAAGTTATTTAAGAACGGAAATGAATGTCAATAGAATTTGTTGTTTCGATTTGATTTGTGTATATTGAATGAGAATAACCTACTATTACTAAAAATGAAAGATAATGGAATTGTCTTGAATTGAGATGTGAAATGAATTGTTCAATAGTTTTCGTATTAACAATAAATAAATAAATTGAATAGTTTGAAAACGATAGAACAGAATTGTGTAACGGAAAAAATTAGTGAACTGAGAATAGAGAGTTTCAATCAATTGATTATGTAAATGATGAGATTTTGAATTTGCTTTTACCTTTGTGCTTTGCAATTATTCATCACAATTCCATTTTCAAATTCACCTATTCATCAAAGACTTTATTCCATTATTGTATTGAGAACGAAAGTGTGTGTTGTTTGTTGTTTCATCTCAAACCTATTATCATCAATTCACACATAGATATCACTGTACTATTTTTATCATTGATTTGATCACATCCATTAAGTTCATTGTTTCCGATAAATACTCATTTCTTATTCTATACTACTATTATTTACACTCTATCTATTGAATAATATCCATTTTCACTGAATAGATCAATCAATGAATCTTGTTTGTCAAAATTACACTCTATGTGTTATCTTTCATTCCATTCGTTCATGGTGAATTGAATATCCAACTTATGACTCTCCTATTCAAACAATCATTCACAGTTGTTAGTCTTTTACAAACATTCAAGTACAGTTATCAATATTACATGATTTCTGTTGAAATGTTATGTAGAATCTGTTTGTTTATCAAACCCATTGTTTTGATATTAGTTCTTTAACTCAACTCCATAATATTACGAATTAACAAACAATTCCTTATTTCTTTTGTGATTATTCCAATCCTTCTCTATCACTAATCATTGAAACTTAGTCATATTTCTTGAAATGCTGAAGTCCAAAGTTTATTCATAAATGATAAATCTCCTCATATTGATCTGATGCTTTTTATTCAGATTTAACTCTACTTAAGAAGCATTCTGAATTCATGGTCAGGATCTCTTCACTTCACAGCCCTCAGCACTATGAACGATCAATGTTTGCTCAACGATTGTTTTTCCTGGATTCCTTACCACATTCCCATACTTCAATTAGCTGCAAACGATACAAAACCATAAATTCCAGAAAATATCCTGACTTTTGACTATTACCACTCAAATACAATCCATTCTTCTCACATATCCAACATACCACATATCATTCATCCTTCAATTCCTTCAACTATCTCTTGTATTACAACAAACACGCTACACATACTCTCTAATGTGCAACAGAAATGGGGGGCAATGATTCCCGAATACACGATCCATACCCCTCTTTATCCTCAAAAATCTCCAATTTCTTTGCTTGTTCGGCCACATTCATACTTACCGAATAATATGAATCAAAACAGCCACTGATATCCGTGAATCTATCCTTCAAGAACTTGCTTTCTCCACTCTTCGTCTCCGCGTAAACCTTCACATAGCAGCACGGAATTCCCATATGCGTCTTCTTATCCATCACTCGCAACTGTCCAGACTTCACAGACAGCGCCACGAGCAGCGAATTGTTCAGCGAATAGCAGGCTTCGCGCAGCGTTCCGTTCCGCACTTCCACCAAAACATTCTTCTCCTGGTATTCTTTCGGAAGCGTGTAGCAAAACTCGCCCACGCCATCGACTTCAAAAGGCAGCTGGACATGCTGCGTGTAGTTGGGACGAATGAAGAGCGACGAAGACTTGTTGAACACGAAGGGATTCAGACTGAAGAGCAACTCCACATCCAGCTCGTAGAGATTGATGTCTGCCTCGCGTAGATTGTAGTAGTGCAGCGTAATCACCTGATTCGTGGATGACACTTCGAGTGAACTGTCCATATTCATTTGTAATCGTTTCGATTTGAATTCATCGCGAGCAAGGTCCGATTCGTCCCTGATTTCGAAGGTCTTCTCGACATCCATTGTTCCATCCACGCTCTTTACCATCGAAGAAATGTTGCTGAATAGATTTCGCCAGTACAGAACTGGATAGGACTCATAGCGAGCACAGATCTCGCGAGCCTGCGTCAAACTCTCCGTGAAACAATCGAAATACGCGATCATAGAATCGACCTGGACGTTGCAAACGCAGTCTGCGCGCGAAACAAAGCGGCCTTCTCGCTCTTCACAGACAAACTGTTTAAACACAGAAAGGGCGGTCATTACACGATCCTGAAGAATCAAATAATACACCAACAACGCGTAATCATTGCACGTGGGCTTCTTTTGCATCAGATACTTCAAGAAAAGCTCGTATTGCTTCTTTAGCTTGTCGTTCGGAATGTTCATGCTCTCTCCTAAGCGGAAACAACGATTATTCACGTAGGGTTTGTACTCGCGAATATTGAAGAGTCCCTCAGCCACTGAATCGATTGTGAGCATCGGCGAAGAGAATGCCAATCCAACACGCTTCCTCATTCTCATTCCCACAAGATCCTTCGTGGACTGCAGATCGTGGTGTTTCACTCCGAACTTCCAGATATCCTCGTTATAGAATCAAATTCGACTCAGCTCGGCAACCAGCTTCGTAAAGAACGAAGCATTGGACAGTCTGCCCAGCACATACTTCCATTCCAGCTCCTGAGCATCATGTGATCGAATGGAATCAAGCAGAACGTCCTCCGAAGCGTTGAGCGCTACATCTTCCCACGAAGTGACATCAAGCGTCTTCGCCTCCTTCACGCAGTGGAGCGTCGTGAAGGAAGGAGAAGCGACAGCGAGGATGGTCGCCTTCGTTGAATCGATGATGTGCGCTGGAAGATGCTCAAAGTCTCCCACCTTCGGGAAATAGAAGAAGCGAATAACTCAACGTGCAGGTGCTGAAGGCATCGATTGTCTTCACCTCGTTCACCAAAGACTTGAAATTGGATAGAGGGTACGATCCCCGCGGAATCTGATACATGATCTCCACGACTTGCTGGATGGGCGCCACATTCGTAATGACAATCATACAGGTGTACGAAACTCCCGCGACGAACTCGTTGGTTTCCATGAAACGCTCCACTTTCTTCCCGTTCACTGTCTTCCAGTGATTGCTGTTATCGATGTACTTGGTCAGCACCATGAGAGGACAATCCGCAGGCTTTGTTCCCTCCTTCAGCATTTTGTGGAACACGAACACGGGCGAATTCGTGACTAACTGCGATTTCTGTAGGTGATAGGCGGCTTCTTCACTCTGAATTCCCAGCACAGACAGGCAGAATAATACTTCCGAACCAGAGTGAGTGCAGAGAATGAAGTCTTTGGAGAGGAAGGGACAAGACGAGCCGCTGCGCAAATGATGGGCAAAGGACGCCCAAAACGCTGAATTGGGAACAAGACTCACAGGAGAAAACATTTCAGTGCTTTGGTAATAATATCCCTCTTGATACTCCTTCGTTTTCTCTAATCGTTCGTAGTGATGTTCTACACTCTTCTTCATTTTGTAAGTGTCAATGTCTTCCATTCGATCAGCCGACTGAGCAATGAATCGATGAGATGGCATGGCATCCATCCGATGCATTCGTGGAGCGGTCATCGGAGGAGGCATTGGCATAGAACAATAATAGACTGCATCAGACATAGACTCAAAGTCCATGCTCCCATTACAAGCTCCAAATCTCATCATTCTTGGTTGATTGAAATCAATAGACCTCATACACATCATTGGTGGAATAGCTCCATAAAGCATTGGCTTTGGTCGACATAACTCTTCCATAGGACGAGGAATAGAGTCACTAAGAACTTCTTTTTCTTGCTCAGGTGGAAGCACAGAAGGCGGCGCATTCCAACTCTTCAGATTCATCGCACTTTGGAAAATGGAGGCGAACGCAAAGCGAGATAGAGGATTGTGCGCAGCATTATTCTTCATTCCAAGTTCGATTGCTGCACCTTTTCCTTGGACATTAAACTGGCCAGCAAAGCGCGCTCAAAAGCATTCAGACGCTCAAAGAATTGGGGTTGAAGGAAGCGAGACACATCGCCCCCAGTAAGCCACACATCCAAAAATGATTTCTCGACCTTCGATTGCAGAGAAGAAGCGAGATATGCATCAAAGAAGGGACGGTCACGGAAATAGATGAAGACATTCACTTCCGAGCAGTTTTACTTGTTGTACAATCGCATCTTTTCCTTTTCGTTCATTCTGTCCCACGAAAAAAGGAACGAGAATTGCTGTAGCCTTGAATCGTCCAACAACACCTTCAAAAGCAGCCATACATCCTCTAGAGACGCCAACACTTGCATCTCTGACTTGCTGTCAATCGACAACGGTTCCTCCGCCGTTACTACCGATATCCGCTTCTCCTCCGTGTAATTCTTCGAGGGATCCAGCGATTCCTCCAGCTCTTGCTGCTGAACCATCAGTGAAACACGGTCATCCTCGCTCCCAGAATCGAACAACACAGTGTCCAAGAAGCGGCCTTCATCCACTGCAACCACTTCAACCTCGCATCCATTCTCCTTGTAATCGCTCAGATCGATTTCTGCTTTTCCATCTACCATTTGGATGTTCGGCAGCAAACGAGAAAACACACGGATCGTCTCACGACTATCGCGCTGTTTCATATCCTTCGGAGCAACATCCAACTCATCTCGTGTCTTGGAAACGCAGGCTCCTGGACGTTCTTCATGCTTTTCTGCAAAGTTCGTTCCAGCCAATGCCTCCTTCGCTTTCGTCGTCGTTTCATCCACTTTGATCGGATTCATCAGCAATCCAGGAGGAGGCAGCATGTTGCCAGGCAGCGTTCGATTCGCTCGCTTTCGTCCCTGGATGTAGTCGTACTCTTCTGGAAGTTTACAATCATTCACGATAAGAGAAGAAACGGGATCTAGCTTAATTCGCGCATAGGAAAGATTGTTCAGATCTCGGATGTGATTGCCAAGCATCAAACTCTCGTAGAACGACTTGAACAACACATGAACGTGTGTAGATGGTGTGGCTCCATAAAGCTGGATCGTAAGATGCTGATCGTTCGGCGTGCAAATCATTGAAATGGGAGCATTACTCAGTTGCCGAGCCCAGGAACCAAAGAACGCATAATGTTCAGTAATGTTTATCTTGGAAGCATGATAAACGCTGATTCGAATGGTGTACAAGGTTCCATTCCTATCTCGAACATACAACACATATTTTCCAGGCTTCAGATTGTGAATCAAAACATAGCCATCGACCCTTGCCAAACAAGATTGCAAGGATTCAATTTCGTCCTCGCTCTTCCTGATACGAAATTGAGTAAGACATTCGAGTGTAACTGTGGAAGTAGTATTGAAATCGTATCCGAATCATTTACATCGGCTAATACAACTCTGAAACAAGCAATCACACTTATTGCCAGTAAATCATATTTGATCACGATTGATACGGTGATTTTTTGTTCGAACTATGAACAGGTGCTAATGGGATTCACAAGCACGCCGAAATTAGTAATCGGTGCAGACACGGCACGTATTATCAACATTCCAATGAACAATTTCGTGCCTACCACACTTGTGAGTGGTTCGTCCGTGATTACACCGACAAAGACGAATGCACAGACGATTTAAGTGGTTAGTAGTGTCGCCACTATGATCACACATTACTTTACAGGATTGAAGGTGAGCGTGGTTGAAATGTAAGAGAGGGAATCAAGACCAAAGTGAAAGGCAAGCCCGCCAATTCACTTTGGCAAGCGCACATGGAACTTGTTGACCTTGTCCTTTTTGTCCTCTCAGAAAATCAAAGATTTCCCCTTCTCTAACCCCTTTATTTATCCTCTAATGAACTCTTCAATTTTGGTATGATCAAAGACCACACAGTAGATTTTAATTTCGATGGTTCCAATGAGCGGACCGACACAATGACCATCGATGTTGTACCTGTCGACTCCGTAAGGATCCATTGAATACAAGAGCAAGTGCTATACTTCGTAGCTATTTTGTTCACAGATGGTTTGAAGTATGTGCTTAAAGTCGGCTAAGTAGAACGAGACTGATAGAGGCATGTTTTCAAAGTCTTTTAACATTCTAGTATCTGGATCATCGACGAACGAGTTGATCATGTCGAATATGGATCGCCCGGCAATTTCACGTCGTTCTTCAGTTATCCAGTAGTTCATTTCTATTTATGAATCCATTATTTCACTTTAATCTCTGTTGGACTGATTGTGATGTCACTACCACTATCATTTTCGGATTTATTCTTTTCGTTGTAAACACATAGACAGCTACAGCGATCTTTGCATTTCGAGTCTAGCACCAGTTTGTGGTTCTTCCTCTTACTCATCCATTTCCATATCCCTTTCAACCATTGAATAAAGCGGTTCATTTATGAATGAGATCAAGGAACTATGGAAACCAGCAAAACGAAGAGGTGCCACTTGAGTGATCATCAGTGGATTCAAACGAAACATATACTTCATCGATCTTATCGATTTCTCTTCCAAACAACACAAATCGATACAAGAAGTGTTAGGAAGACAAAAGAGTACCGGATTCTACAAGAGTCGTGGATACAAATATGTCCTTGTATGTATTGATGGATATTCGAAATACCTGATGACTCGGCGATTGAAGAGCAAGAGTGCCACAGAAGTCACTCAAGCAATGAAGGACATCATTCAGACATATGGTGAATCACCAAAGCATATTTGCTCGGATCGAGGTACCGAATTCACCAATGCGATCTTTCGTACCAACATCTTGAACAAGTATGACATCACCATGTATCACATGGATTCAGCGAATAAGGCAGTACTAGCTGAACGAACAATTCGAGATATCAAGAATACATCATGGTTCCATTCAATCAATGGAAAGGTGTATGGTTTGATTTGATCGATGGTGCAGTTCGTAGACATAATGCAAGGAAGAACAGAGACATCGGATATACACTTAATGACATTTGGCTTGACAACAACAACAACGATATCTTGTACATGGAGAAAACAGAACCATCCAACATGACAGCAAAGGACACAACACCTCAATTCAAGGTGGGTGATTATGTTGGAGTGACACGAAGACCTCGCATTCTGGAAAAGGGATCATTGACGATCAAATGGTCTCAGGACTTGGTTGAAGTTGTTGATATTGACGATCACATCATGCCATTGATGTACGAAGTGAAGAATGTGGAAAGCGATAGCACACAGAAGTGTTATGATTGGGAACTACTGGCAAGCAAATGCAAACCACAACCAGCACCACCCATTACTCGATCCAAGAGTGGTAAAGAACCTAATGCATTGAGAGAGGCAGCAACATCACATCGACCCATTACGATCATACAGAAGATGAAGAAACAGAAGAAACAACAACAACAACCTGGCTCAAGTGTTCGAAAACGATCGTGATGCTCTTCACACCTCCCAGACATACAAGAGAAAAGATATTCGCGAATACAGAGATCGTATGACTCTCCCTTGTCCAATCTATTCCATTTATCAGTTTTGTATGGGAAAGGGTCACAAGATTGTTGAGTGTATCGATGAATGGCACATGGAACAATCACACACCATCCATTGAAACATTCACCTTGTATCCCTTATCCACAATCGATTCGATGGAATCACAATGTTTGAATGTGGCATCATTCTCATTGTAACATGGAATCGATGTGATTATGAGATATAAAGCAGAAGATAATTCGAATTGGCATTGATTATTGAATGGTTGAGTGGATGTGGATGTATGTTCAAACATTATGGTATTATTGACTTTCACAAAACACTCAGAAGGTGTCGTCCATGAATATTGATGAACGCCATCCACTGTCTCACACACGAGGACATATTTGCCATCGTTCTCTGGCATATTGATGAGCATGTTGTCGAGTTTCTTGAACGTGTAATTGTTTGGATTGCTACTGAATATGTACGACATTGATTGATTCAATTTACTTTGGTTGATTTGGTTCATAGTGTTTGACACATACACTCTTCAAACAAGCTCAATTCATATTCGAATATGTGAACATGTTGAGTGAGAAACGAGCCAAATCCAAGACCATTGTGGAGTAGAACCTATACTAGTTATTGGCAAACTCGACACATGGCAAATATGTGGATACTGGATTGAAACGAATGAAATAGAAGTTCGTCACCACATTGATCGTGTCCATATTATTGAATTTAACTTGATTGGGTTTGAATAGCACAGTCATGGACGTGATGTAAGGATCCTTGAACATGGAAGGGTTGGTTTATTCGAATGTATTATTACTAGGTGAACCTTGTATGAGAATGGAGTAATGCATGGGTAATCTCTATTTAACAAGGGATGGGACGCGAGGTGATCAATCGCACGATGTGAATAAGCCTATTTTTCGACCTCATTCTTATGAAGGGCAAAAATACAAGCTGCCCCTGTGAGCAACAAGAAACACTCGTTGCCAGGGATTAGAGGGCGACTTTGATAGGAATCATATTCGCGCTTTCTTCGTCAATTACATACTACTAGCACAACTTCAGTAAGGTATTCAAGAAGATAGATAGATAGATATCAATGTCTATCTTCCATCTATATACATATATATACATACATATATCTGAAAAGTAATAGTTTGATTGTTGCCTCCAACAAATAATCAGTCAGATATGTCTCACAGCTTGATATTGGACAACTACTCATTCCCATAGAATCCATTCTTATGGATTTCAGCTTTATCATCAACAATACTGATATCACTATTAGTGAGTAATTCTATTCATCCTAATGAGTTGGGAACCAAAGCATTTCACTTTCATCAACCAACTCAAACAGCAAGTATTATGTATACTATTGTTATTCATGCTCGTAATAGAACAACATTGTGAATCACTTTGTATCCCTATTGAAGTGGTGTACAATTCGATCCTTCCTTTAAATAGGAGATATTCTGCATTATTTGGCAGGTGGGGGATACTATAAGGGATAGTATCCTCTGGCAATATAACAAACTCTGACTAGGTTCAGAGTGCATCAAAACGACAAAAACTGGCACCAACTATCCAAAAACCTAGAAACAGTGGAATATGAACATATCTCTATTTGTTCGTATAAAATATATTATGTAGTCTACCTTATTTTGCTCAGTTCTTCAACGACACACCCACCTTTCTCACAAACTCTACTATTCGATTCTACTATACACATATCACATATTATTACTATAAATGATAACCCAAAAACTGCTTATCGCTAGCTTTTCCATTTTCATTCCTATCATCATCTTCTACATACCCTATTTCTTTCTATCCCATCTAGAGTAGATTCCAAATGAATAGAACGAAAAACAAAACGCTTCCACTGGAAACAACACTCTTCGATCTATTCATTCCACAATATCCCATTTCCGCTCATCTCCTTCCACTTCACAGTAAAAACAACTCCCTCCCTATTCGAAATCTATTCTTCCACTCATACCCAATTTCAACACTATTTTCACAATTGCACAATTCCTGTGTATTTTTGAAATCATTTGTTTTACAATAAAAGCTATTAGATTCGTCTTACTGGGTTTGAATGTATTCAAAATTTGGAATTGGACTTGTATGTCCTGTCTTTTGTTTTGTTTTCGGACTTCTATGTGTTTTTGTGTGTTATGTTATGGGAGTGTAAGTATTGTAGCTGGGATGGGTTCTGTCGTCAAGTTGGTGTGTTTGAAGAAGCTAGTGTAGTGTGTGCTATCGTATACGTTTGACTAAACTGTGTGTGTGAGATATGCATCGTGAACGCATTCAATACCATAATGGTGGTGGACCCTGGTTCCATTTTTGCTGTGTGGAGTGTGTTCCGAGTGAGGAATTTCTGTACTTCAAACTGTGCAACGTGGCGAACCCATTCATGGCATGTGGGACCGCGGATACATGGAGATAACTTGCAACGTGGGAGGTATCTGGTACAGGCACGACGTTCTTGCCTAGGATATCTGTTCTGTTTCTCGTATTTTCATTTTCATATTGTGAGGTGGTAGAGTGTGGTAGAGAGAACGGATTTGCGATGAGTGAAAGGGCAAACTATGGGAGCAAGAC